AACGGAAGCAGAAGCATTTTTTTATTACCAGTTGATATCTTACTTAAAAATTAATTTACTTTTATTAAGGTTTAACATTTTTTTAATTTTCATTCTAGTTAGTATTGGAAACTACCTACTGTAGATTAAAAAACTGTAATGTAACAAAAAATGTATGGAAATGCCTATGTTTCAGACAGGACTTACCCCAAATTTCTTGCGGAATCTTAGACCGCACATGTTCCCAACACATTTTAGACAAAACTGGATGGGATGAACTCCAGCGAAGTCTGTTTAATCAAATAATAATTTTATAATTCTTTAATCCGACCTATTGCTCTTATCAATGGACCCGAATTACCCAAACGTTACAATGATTTCATAACCCACATATCATCTCCGACTATTTTAAGATATTTTCATATTGCATTAATGCATATTACATATGCTCTTGTATTTAAAATTAGTTGTTTACACTTAATAGCTGATGTTTTTAAATTATTTAGGTATAATACCAGATATAGGTACTATTATTGATATGTAATCGAATTATGTACCTCTATCCTAATATATTATTTCTATTTAAATTTAAAAGTCTACAAGGCTTTGGAAATGCCTGAAGAGTGAAGATGAAAAGTTAGGCTTTCATTTGTATCATCAGGCAATTACTGAAACTACCTACTGATTATAATAGGTTGGAGTCCATTTATAAACTATTTTCTAGTGATGGGCTATTTAATTCGAAAAATAACCTGTTAATCCGATTATTGAAATAAGTTTAGGAATCCGATTGTTATTTTCGGTAATTTGAACTAGGTACACTGAACATCAGATACTGGACACTAGGGTAGATATTACATACTCTTGGATACATGGGAAGTGTTAAGAATGCATACAAATGATTGCATTTTTTTGCAGAATGACGATTGAGCCAAGCAATTCTTCATTCGTTGACTTGATTACCAAGGAAAGTTAATATATACAATTAAATGTAAATAATCAAACTTTTTTCTTCGTGTATCTAATTCCCAATGAGAAAAATATTTAAATTGAACAACGACTTAATGTTACTATACCTACCTAGGTATCACGATCACGGTACAGATATTTGTTCTCTATTTACTGTTATATGTAGGTATCTGCATTTTGAAGCAAAATTGTATATTTTATTCGAATTTCGCAATGTCGCAAAAAGCAGATTACAAATAGGTCTCTTGTAAAACGAATTCAAGTTTGTTTGTTTTTTAGATTTTTAGTGAAATTTTGTTTTTAACTTGGTTCCTTGGTGAACGTTGGAAAAATGGTTTTGTTATAATTTTTTGAGTAGTTTGAATTAATAAAATCGATATTAATTGATATAATAACCACTAAAATATTATATTCTTATTAGGTTTTATTACTTATTACTTTTCTAAAAAAAACATTTATTAAATTTGGTTCGTGTTCCAAAAAAATCATCAATTAAAACGAGCAAAAAGAAAATTAAGGGTACAGGATATATTATTAACGAGAAAAGAATAGGGACATTACATAACAGTATAGAAAAAGCAAACGACTCAAAATACAAGGTAGTAGGTAGTATCTGTATATTCCAATAAGTTTTTATTACGTTTCCTGTACTTTTTTCAATTTATGTTTAATAAAATGAATTAAAAATAATAAAAGCAATACGTAAACATGCAATATTTTAAGTTTCTGCTCTGTTCACAAAACCCATTAAACTGTTAAAAGACCCAACTCAATAAACAGTATAATTACATTACAATTACATATAGTCCAACCAAATTACACTTAGAGAAAAAAAAATGGTTACCTGGACTTTTATAAGTGGAAATGGTAAAGGGGCTTATAATAAACGTAAAAAAAATAAATGCGTGAGCAGGGGCGGCGGAGGGTTGATTTGGGGGGTTGAAGAGGGGTGAAAAATGGTATCATTGAGATTTCTGGCGAAAGTTTATGTCAAACAAAAAAGTATCCAATACAAAAGTTATAGATCATGAAAAAATCTACAACTCTTGTAGAGGGCACTTTTGAAGATAACCTCAAAATTTCCGAGAAAAATGCGAAAAACAGGTTTTTTTCTTTTTTTTCGTTTTTTATTTCTCATTTCCGCAAAAATAATTTAATTTTGACGAAACTTGGTGAAAGTATACTTTCCTGTGTCTTAAATAACCACAATTTTTTTTAGATAAAAAAATCAAGAAGTTTCCGAGATATTCATATTTTCCGGTCTGAAACACTTTTTTTTCAAAGAAAAATTCTACTTAAAAAAATCATCGTACAGAGTTCTGCCGGTAATCATTTTTTTCGTTTTGACATATACTTTTTGGTGAAATAAAAAAAATTGGAATCGCAGTTCAAAAACATGCTCAAAAATGCAAAAAAGAAAAATGACTCTTGCAGAAATGAATTTTTCAGTAATTATTGTTGATAGTTTGTTTAAATTTAAAGAAAATTCAAAAACTGATTACACCATTCGATTGTACGGAAAAAATACAAAAGAAACTGTGTCTCATTGTTTGACCCGAAATTTTATTTTTGTACAGTATTGCTATAAACATAATATTTTTTTTTCGTAGGATCGATTAATGTACTTATTTTTTTTAACTTTGAATTGAATTCATAGATGTATAAGCGACTCTTTAATTAAATTATGTAAAATTCAGATTTTTGCTTTCAAAATTTAAAAAATATTTACAAAGGATATTTACAGTTAATAATACTAGGCGAATCTTGGTCTTTTTGGCAACTTTTTAAATTGATCTTCATCGTCCTATCCTTCATTAAACTGGGTTTCTTCCTGATCTTCAAACGTTTCTTCGATATCACTTAATTCTTCGGTTAATTGATCTTCCGGGTTCAAGCAAAGACTGGGCTGCTCGATTTCATTTGAAATGTCTTCGGAATCACTGAAATTTTCTGAAATTTTGTCAAGGTTCAAACAATTGTCCGAACCATGACATTTTGTACATAAATCTGTACATCGCAGTCCATGTTTTCGACACCCGCATCTATTACCGTCACAACTGGTTTCGCAGCTGCAAGAGATTGTTTTTATTAAATCTTCAGGAACGACTGAAACTTCTGTAAAGCGAGGCATGAGTATTTTGGAATTATTCGCAATTACTTCTTTCCAGCCCCACTTGGTTGCAGTTATTTTGTTTCCAAGCCACGTCTGAAGCTGAAAGTATGCTCTATAGGAGTGTTGTGTAGCTGCTCCGACAGTTGGTGGTAATTTTTCTAATTTAAAAGTAGACTTTGCAGTTAATACTTTGTATTGCTGAAATCTCAAATCATCCAGAGATAATTTATCATTTGTGCATTTGTAAATAGACGAAATTAATTTACAACCATTTCGAACAATGACTTTTGATTCTGCATTAGTCTCATAAAAAGGTTTTACCAACGGTAATAGATGCGGGTGTCGAAAACATGGAGTGCGATGTACAGATTTATGTACAAAATGTCATGGTTCGGACAATTGTTTGAACGTTGACAAAATTTCGGAAAATTTCAGTGATTCCGAAGACATTTCACATGAAATTGAGAAGCCCAGTCTTTGCTTGAACCCGGAAGATCAATTAAACGAAGAATTAAGTGATATCAAAGAAACGTTTGAAGAACAGGAAGACTGGGTTCTAATGAAGGATCGGACGATGAAGTTCAAGTTAAAAGGCTGCCAAAAAGACCAAGATTCGCCTAGTATTATTAACTGTAAATATCCTTTGTAAATATTTTTTAAATTTTGAAAGCAAAAATCTGAATTTTACATAATTTAATTAAAGAGTCGCTTATACATCTATGAATTCAATTCAAAGTTAAAAAAAATAAGTACATTAATCGATCCTACGAAAAAAAATATTATGTTTATAGCAATACTGTACAAAAATAAAATTTCGGGTCAAACAATGAGACACAGTTTCTTTTGTATTTTTTCCGTACAATCGAATGGTGTAATCAGTTTTTGAATTTTCTTTAAATTTAAACAAACTATCAACAATAATTACTGAAAAACTCATTTCTGCAAGAGTCATTTTTCTTTTTTGCATTTTTGAGCATGTTTTTGAACTGCGATTCCAATTTTTTTTATTTCACCAAAAAGTATATGTCAAAACGAAAAAAATGATTACCGGCAGAACTCTGTACGATGATTTTTTTAAGTAGAATTTTTCTTTGAAAAAAAAGTGTTTCAGACCGGAAAATATGAATATCTCGGAAACTTCTTGATTTTTTTATCTAAAAAAAATTGTGGTTATTTAAGACACAGGAAAGTATACTTTCACCAAGTTTCGTCAAAATTAAATTATTTTTGCGGAAATGAGAAATAAAAAACGAAAAAAAAGAAAAAAACCTGTTTTTCGCATTTTTCTCGGAAATTTTGAGGTTATCTTCAAAAGTGCCCTCTACAAGAGTTGTAGATTTTTTCATGATCTATAACTTTTGTATTGGATACTTTTTTGTTTGACATCAACTTTCGCCAGAAATCTCAATGATACCATTTTTCACCCCTCTTCAACCCCCCAAATCAACCCTCCGCCGCCCCTGCTCACGCATTTATTTTTTTTACGTTTATTATAAGCCCCTTTACCATTTCCACTTATAAAAGTCCAGGTAACAATTTTTTTTTTTTTCTCCTATAAATGAGTTATTTCGATCGGTCTAATAACCGCACACATAATCTAATACTACTAGATATTTTACTTCAATAATTCACCATTGTGCTTAAATCTTATCAAAACTGTTTTCTTTTGCTTTATAAAGCAAAAGCCCACAAGCTTATTGGTTGAATGTGAAATATGATCGAAAAACATTGGCTAACATGTAAGTTGTGTTTTAAATTCGTTTTTTTTTTAATTGTATTTTAGGGTCATAGATAATCTACTTATTTTTTTTCTTTTCGGTGTGGTAGAATAGAAATACTCAAATAACTTGCTATTTTTTGGTGTGTCTATCATTTTTAATTTTGTGTAGTTCGTGCTTATATTCTGTTCTATGGACTATGCCTATATTGCCTATTGTACCTAACTTCTTTCATGTCTTGGCGTTCATGTCGAGGAGTTACTTAATAACCTCAAAAATTATTATTTTTAATATTTAATTTTATACCGAAATGCAAAACGCAAGAATATTAACATTGACTCGATCCGGCTTTAAATCTTGGAAAAGAGGCATCACAAAATGGTATGTACATTATCTTATTAGCCCTATCATTTACTAAACTTTAAATTTTAGTACTCCGGCGCCTCAATCTGCGGAAGTGCAATCAGCACCAATAGAAAATCTTACAGTTCCGCCACCAAGTAATGTAGAGAAGCCCGTTTCACCGAAAATAGAAAAATTGGTAACAGAAATTTCACAACTTAACCTCATCGAGGTTTCTGAATTAAGTGGACTGTTGAAGAAACGCTTAAATCTACCTGATGCACCTGCTTTTCCAGTTGGTGGTTTTGCAGCTGCTGCTCCTGCCGCAGCTGAAGAGGAAGACGAAGCTCCAAGAAAAGTTAAATCAACGTACAATGTAAAGTTGATGAAATTTGATGAGAAACAAAAGGTAGCGCTAATCAAGGAAATAAAGAATTTAATGGAAGGTATGAACTTAGTGCAAGCTAAGAAATTTGTGGAAAGCGCCCCAACTATTGTGAAGGAGGATATACCTAAAGAAGAGGCCGATAAATTGAAAGAAGCGATAGAGAAGGTGGGCGGGACTGTAGAAATAGATTAGAGAGAATAGAAAAAATGGTGTAATTGTAATTGTTCTAGTTTGTGACTGAATGTTATTTACCAATTTTGTAATAAAATTGTGGTAGTTACCTATTTGATGCGAAAAACTTGATACAAAATGAACTCAAATTTGAAGATTTCTTTTACGTAAAATACCTTTACCAAAATTTTTTTTCTTTAATTTTGACATGAAAATGGATATTTATTAACTTCTAATGTAATTATGAGAGAAAATTATGGAAGACTTACCTAATAATGGCGTTTCTTCAGTATCCATTCTTTAATATAAAATAATGTTAAGGAACATAAATATAATTAACGAAAGCAATTTCTTATATAGCTTCAGCCTTAAAACTAAAACATTTAAATTTGGAACTTTTTGTAGTCTATTTTATTGAAAGTTATTTAAATACTGTTAGAGATAAAGAAAATAAATATAAACCTATTTCAGATAAACTATTGTTTATTTCTGTATTATTTCCGCGTTGTTTATTTGTTAATTGTTCGTGAACTTTAGATAAAGAGAGAAATATAAAATAAAGAGTATATTAACTCTAGGTATATTATTATTTTACTCTGTAATCAGTTCAGTTAGCTAAACGTGTACGCTAAAAGGTTTTTCTGTTAATAGTGTTCAAAGGTATTAGAACGTTTTATTTTTCTTACATTGGCATCAAATTATATAATTTGACATTTCTTCGCGGCTAACTTCACATAATTATACAAATCATATTTATAGGTTATGTTTTTATAATTAAAATTGTTGCCTGTACCATGTAAATTCTTAATTTTCAAAAATGCATATAAACACCACAGTTTTAAACACCATACCATTAGTCTTTAAGGGTAAATTTAGCAAAAAAATATTTAATTATAGGTTAGGTTTACGTAAACTTTCATGCACTCGAATCTATAGAAATATTGCCCATATTTCAATAGAAAATGAATCAGAGGGAAAGGATACCACCCGATCGAAGTTCAGACATAAACTACTGAACGGTCCTAATTTGAAGGATTTTTTTAAAAATGAGCATCTAAGTGATCAAGAAAACCTTCCTGAAGAACAAGTTGTACCTTATCTGCAGGACATTAACCGATACACAGCTAAAAGGAAAGTTTATTTTGACGTGTACGGTTGTCAAATGAATGTAAACGATACTGAAATAATATGGGCAATATTAAAAGATAATAAGTTTGAACGTACTAAGGACGTTATCGAAGCTGATGTTATCCTCATTGTAACTTGTGCAATTAGAGACAGTGCTGAAGAAAGAATTTGGGCTCGATTGAACTTTTTTAAAGGTATTAGAAGGATGCGTCTGAAAGATAGGCCTTCTTTGAAAATAGGATTGTTAGGTTGCATGGCAGAGCGTCTTAAAGAAAAAGTGCTAGAGAGGGACTGTATGGTAGATGTTGTAGCGGGGCCAGACAGCTATAGAGACCTTCCGAGATTATTAGCCTTAACAGAAAGTAATCAAAGGTCTGTTAATGTGTTACTGTCATTAGATGAAACATACGCCGATATTACTCCTGTACGACTAAATGAAGACTCTGTCTCTGCTTTTGTTTCAATCATGCGAGGCTGTGACAACATGTGTACATATTGCATCGTTCCTTTTACAAGGGGACGTGAGAGATCTAGGCCTGCCTCATCGATTTTGAGGGAAGTAGAACAATTATCGGAACAAGGGGTTAAAGAAGTGACTTTATTAGGTCAAAATGTGAATAGTTACAGAGATCTTTCAGAGGGTCATAATATTAACAATTTCACGAGTATGGCAAAAGGTTTCAAGACAGTGTATAAAGTGAAAAAGGGTGGTTTAAGGTTTGCAGATTTACTACACAAAGTTGCCCATGTTAATCCTGAAATGAGAATCAGGTTCACTTCTCCACATCCTAAAGATTTTCCAGATGAGGTGATCCAGGTAAATTTCTATAAAAATAGTTATACACAGTCTAAAGTACTGATTTCAATTCTTATTTTATTTAATATCAAATTGTGTATATTTTAGACAATCCAGTCACATTCAAACATCTGTAAAAATCTCCACATGCCAGCACAATCCGGTAATTCGGCTGTGCTTGAACGAATGAGAAGAGGGTACACTAGGGAAGCTTATATAGAACTTGTTCAACACATAAGACATCACTTGCCACAAGTTGCGTTGAGTTCTGACTTTATCTGTGGATTTTGTGGTGAAACCGTTGAAGAATTCGAAGATACCATAACATTAATGGAGGAAGTTCAATACAACACAGCATATTTGTTTCCTTATAGTATGAGGGAGAAAACTACCGCTCATAGGAGGTTCAAAGATGACGTTTCGCCAGAAATTAAACAAAAAAGGTACATGGAAAGCTATACAACTTATTATTCTTGTAACATTTCACATTTTAGGTTAGAACGAATGATTCAAGTCTTCCGCCAAATTGCCTTAAAACTGAACAGAACACAAATCGGCAAAACCCACCTAGTTTTAGTTGAAGGATATAGTAGAAGATCTAAGAATTTCCTAAAAGGAAGGAATGACCAAAACATTCGCGTCATTTTGCCTGCAAATGAAACTGTACCTTTTAAAAATGGTGGCAGTGGCAGAGAAATTATCCCTGGAGATTATGTTGCTGTACACGTAAATGATGCAAATTCTCAAGTATTGAAAGCTATTCCTTTGTATTTGACCAATCTTCAAGATTTTTATTTGGAAGACCGTCACCAAAGAGCTATACAAATTTAAGAGTAAAACTGTAAATTGTTTTTAAATTATTTAATAAAATAGTTGAATAAAAATTGTTCAAAATATTTATGATAATATTCATTAATAAAATCATTAATTTTATTCTCCAGGGTTATCTGTCTGTTTATGGATTTATACCAGGCATGTAAATAAGAAAGAACGTCATTTATATCTAAGCGGTTAATTATGGAGTTCTAAAAAAAATATATTTTTGAGTTATTTAGTTTGCTGCCAAGAGTGCCAAGGTATGCATAAAGGCATGGCCAACTATACAAATGCATTTTTTCAAAAAATTAATAAGGTCAACCAAAAATATTCCTATTAAGATCCTGAGTAAATTTTACTTAATTTTGGTCATATCATACAGGGTGTTCCTTAATGATATGCGAATATTTAAGGGTGTGATTCTATATGAAAAATTAATGATAGTTTACTTTACAAACTATGATCCAAAATTGTTCCGTTGCGAAAATACGAGGTGTTAAAATTTTAGGAAAAAGAAGGAAATTAATAAATATTTTGAACGACAGCTACTTACTTCAAAATGTCAGAAATGCAAGCGACATATTCCAGGCCAACTAGGATTATTCAAAGTTATATTCTTCAATAATTACATTAATTAATTATGGAAATTTTTATTTTTTTACTCAAAAACAGCGCATCGCAGGACAAAAACTCGAGAGCTTTTATCTTTCGAATTGAACGGGGATTTCAAAAATAATTTTATTTGGGAAAAATACCATTGGCGTACCATTTTTTTCTTTAAAAATATCAGTCAGTGCTAGTTGTCATGCCACTGTTAGAGCTAAAAATTATGTTTATGTTGAAAAACCTGCCTTTATTAGCTATTACTGAAATATCATGTGTTTTCGAAAATATTAATAAATTTCTTTTTTTTTTTCTTAAAATTGTAACATCTTTTATTTTCGCAACGGAACATTTTTGGATCATAGTTTACAAAGCAAACTATCATTAATTTTCCATGTAGAATCACTCTCTTAAATATTCGCATATAATTAAGGAACACCCTGTATATTTTGATGTAATACATAAAATAAAGGTACGAGAGGGAAACATGTTTGAACAAAATTTCTGTAAATTTAGTTTGGATTTACCGAAATCAGCAAATTTGGTAATTTTGAGAGTTTTGTTTTGCTGAATCAAATTTTTATTATACAGGGTGTCTCATAGTTAGTGCCCAATAATTTACCACTTGATTCAATTTCCAAAAATAAGAATATTTTTTTATATAAACATGGGTCGAGAAATGCTTCCTAAGGGAGCTACGCCCCCCTAAAGGGGCCTCAAGAAATTCATTTTTTTTTTAAATATTTCTAAAATGGGTTGAAGGAAAATTATGAATTTTGACATCGTGAATGCTCATTAAAAGTTGAAATAGATCATCATAAAAGTATTCAAAAATTTTAGTAAGGGGCTTCTCAATTGGGGGGGTCGCCGGCTAAAATTTACCCCAATTTGTTTGTTTGTAGAAATTTTCAACTTCAGATGCCAATATAATATGATAGACCCTCATTTCCTCTACATAAAAGGTACTCTTTATTTCTTTCGATAAAATGCTCCATTTCCGAGAAAAACGGATCTTAAGCATTTCATTACATACATTAACAAAATTCAAAAAAATTAATTGGAGTAAATTTTAGCCGGCGACCTTCCCCCCCCAATTGAAACGCCTTGAGTATTTTTGATAACGTTTATGATGATCTATTTTGACTTTTAATGAGCGTTCACGATGTCAAAATTCATAATTTTCCTTCAACCCATTTCGGAAATATTTAAAAAAAAATGAATTTCTTGAGGTCCCATTTAGGGGGGCGCAGCGCGCTTAGGAAGTGGTAAATTATTGGACACTAATTATGAGGCACCCTGTATAATATAATTCTGGAATATGTCGTTACCGTAAGGTTATTTTATAGAGGTTAATATTAGAAATAATTTTTCTCCATTTTGGTATGATAACAAAAAAGGTAATTTGAAAGTCTCCGGAGAATAAGTTACAACATTGTGGCTTCCGTAAATCTACAATCAATTGTATATATGTAAATATTTTGCAATGTCCAAATTTTACCTCAGGCATCATTTGGTAGAAGAAACATACGTCAATGAAAATGTTTTTATTAATACAATAACGGGTAACTGTGATTGAGGCATTGGAAAAGTAAATTAAAAGATAAATTTACTTCGAGCACTGAGGGAATTCTAAGAGATTGTTTTCATATGGAACTCTTACTTCTTTTTGTATAATTTAATACTGAAGGCTTCCAACATGTCTCGATATGTTATAATCATTTACATGTAAGCATCTCTGGTGTGACAAAAGGGTCAAATTTAAGGCCATTTCTGTGTTTCATCTTCATCGATGATACCTATTCTATTACTATTGCAATTAACTGTCAAAAAAGTGCAAATGATCCTAGAATCTAGTGAGATAAATTCCATATAAAGTACTGTAAGAAATACAAAGTAATATAATTCGATTTCCCAATTGATTCAGAGAAAGGTTACGTGGTATTAGAAAGTTAAAGACCTGTGTATTTATTTTAATTTAAATTTGTCAATCTTAAATCATATCAATAAGACTGTATCTTTATTTTCAGCAATAATAACGTTTTTTATTAGGTACTGCTCTTCCATAAAATTATTATATTATGTTCATGTTCCATCTAATGTTGAGTATGGCACTATAATTTGGTATGAATGTTATATGGCTCACATTAAATCTATTCAACAGAAGTTTAAACAAGAATTTTCAACAGAATTAAATGAATATCTTAGGAGTAATTGCAAAAAAATTATCGATGCGAGAATAAAATTCAAGCGGCTCGCTTCGCTTGATGCGATCGCCGACCCTCCCCCCGCACCGTCTTGCCTACTGTTTAGCTAATAAGCCGAACGATAACGCGCGCGTAATCCTTTAATAAACCGACTTGGAGTGCATGGAGGTGATGACTGACGACTGTGTTTTCTTTCGGGGTGTTGTTGGAAAGTTATAATTGCGTTCGATATTTTAAGGTCACATTTTTGTTTTGTATTTGTTGTCTTTAGGTAGTCGGAATATATATAGATACTTGCACACATACTTTTATTTCATTGAGTGTTAATAATTTGTTTGTTTTTCATATTGTGAATCATTTAAAACTTCATAGTCGCATTTTTGTTTCGTGTTTGTTTTCTTTAGGTAGTTAGATACCTAACTACTTACTTATTAATTAAAATTGATAGTCCTGAACATAGGTACTTTAATTTAATTTGTTTTGTTTTCACATTTTTGGTAGTTACCTATATTGTTTTAAATTTAAAGGTTTTGCATTTTTAGTTTTGAGTTCGTTTGTCGTCTTTAGGTATATAGATATATCGCGAATTATTTTAAAATTAATATTAGGGTTGCATTAGATGAAAGATGATTGATTTTTTGTTTGTTACGATTTAACTCAAAAACTACTCAACCAATTTTACCGAAAGCTACATCTCCTTGGAATAACATAGGCTATTTTATATTTGCCCGTGCAAAGCAGTGGCAGGTTGCTAGTACTATAATAATCACAATAATAATAGAAAGAATATTGACATAGCATCTTTACTTAGCTAGATACTTGATTATAAAAAACTAAAAAAAAGTGCATAAATTGTTGTTACTATTGTTTATAAAAAATACCCGAAGGTCCTAATTTGCTCGATTTTGTACCTTATTCTTATTCATCTACAGACTAGCCTTGAAGTCATGATGTCTGCAGATTGATGTTAAATTTAACGACAAAAAATATTTCTATTGACTTGCCTAATCTTGTTGGGGTTTTGTATCGGATGGCCAATTTTATCGCTAGATATTTAATCATAGGTCCGAAATTTCAGTTTAATTTTGATTTGTACACGATTTTTACAGAAGTCGAATTACCGTTATATGAATAACTATTTAATAGAAAATAAAATGGGTGCTTTAAACATTTATATGAACTTGGCAGTTTTAACATTTTTTAATCGTGTTTTTACAGCATTGAACTCGCTCTTCCCAACCTATCTAGGGTTTAACCTGTGCCTGTCTGTAATTTCACAAGTACTGTACTCACTTTCCCCCACTAATCTGGGGTTTAATTCGCCTGTTTATATTTTCTTAAGTATTCAACTTGCTTTTACTTTGGCTTGTGCGGTTTAACAATTATTTCCCGCTTCTTTTAAAAAATTTTTGCAAAAAATATGTATAATTTTTTTCTTTGTATATAATAAATTTTTTTCAAATTTTTGCTCCTTAACATTTTGTTTACAAGAAAAACTACATATATAATTTTGCGCGTGCTCCCCGGCTAAATACGCCACTGGTTTGCTCCCCTCTTCTCTTGCCCTTTTATTTTATTTATTATTTCTTTCGTCATTTTATGGTAAACTCATTGCCAGCTATTTCTTTTTGCCACTTTTAGAGATTTTTTTTTTCTCAATACTAAATGAACCATTTCCGAAAGCCGGCTATTTCCTTTCATCCTTCCTTATTCGACACTCAGTACAGCTCATATAATGTTAACCCTTTATATCGCTTAATAAAACAATTTCTTATCAATTAAAACTATATTTAAAGTTTTCAATACAAAGTAAAGTAGTACAAAAAATGTCATTAAGCAGTAGCTTGGAGGTGCTTGTGAACGCATTCTTCCTTGTTAATCAGGTGGGTAGTTTTATTGACCAACTGCATGAGTTGGGACAGATCGTGGGCCCAATCGTTGAGAACGTCGCTGGGATCTTTGCTTTGCTGGAAATGAACAACTCCGGCAGGGCGATCAGTTTTCGCCTGCACCGTCTTGCTCACAACCATCTGAGATAGGAACTCCTCCGTTTCGGCCGGAGAGAGGTCCAGGAGTTCTGCAATGCGAGATATCCGGATGCGCGTGTAGTATTTGGCCATCACGCGGATGTTGTGTTCCACCACCCTGCTCCTGAAAAAGGTGACATTTTAATGTTTTTTAAAAAAATTAATGCTTTATTATTAGCATTTGTATTTTTAGTTTATTTTAGAGGTATTAAGCAAATTTAAATAAATTCAAAAAAATTTCAAAGATATTAATGAGTGAAATTATTTTGCTGTTGAATTTGGATTTTAACGAAGAACACATAACTGAAAAATGTGAGAATAAGGACAATTATGTAAAATTTTTATAATTGATTAGAAATAGTTTAATAACCTAATAAAGTCCGATAAAAATCCTTACTTACTTCAAATCTGTCCATCTTTTTGCAGCCTGATCGTTGCCAGAGAACACGGGCGTGCCCTTCAATTCTTTTTCGTATAACTCGCACAGTCCTGACCACTTTATCAACTCCGGAGTTGTGAACAACTTCAGAAGCTGTTTGTAAAGTGGTATTTCCTCCAAAATTTTATCGGTCAATACTCGATGAGTTAAGTCAACCTAAAAATAACACTAGGTTAAAATTACACATTTTAAAATAATTAATGCATACCTGTTCGTTATCGTGAGGAGCCAAAATGAGGTACAGAACAACAGCCTGGGCAGCAGCTTGCCTTTCTTCTGGTACCGCCATAACGCTGGGAGTATTGAGAACGGCCCTATAATGTTTACACGTTGCCAAATACGAACCTTCATGTTGATCAACCTCCATCATCAAACGGTAATACTTCAATTTCAAGTCTTGCGTACCTAACAGAAAAAATCCAAATAATTATGGGCTTACAAATATTTTTGGAAAATTTACCATCATCTTCAAAGAACTTTGTGTTTATCTTTTTTGAGATGATCTGCGTTCTAATATAGTCCTGTTTCGCTAGACACAATCTCATTTGTTCAAGTATCAATTCAACTTTTTCACGTTTTTCCATGGAACCATAAGTTTCAACTTGAAGTTCTTGAATAATATTTGCCGCTTCTTGAATATTACCCTCTTCTTCCCGTATCTTTGCTAGTTTGTGAGTTAAGCGAGCTCTCTCTACTTCCACGTAAATTTTGCCTTCCGTCACTTGCCTAAATTACAAAATATTTTTAAAAATATGTCGACTAATTTATACGTACATACCTAAGTGTATCGATTAACTTTATTTTAGTTTCTTTGTCAGGTGTTTCGTCTACATAGGAACAGCATTCTTGAACCATTTTAACAACCGCTTGTTTAAGTTGTGATCGTCGTTTAGTTAATAGGACAATGTGTTCGTTTAAAGCAGCCCAATTTTTGGCATCTTTACATATTTGACAAATGGCAACCAATACTCTTCCGGTTGATATCATGTCAGCTCCAGTTCTAGTCTGCTTTTCCAGTGCCAATAGCTGGTCGAGAGCATCATGTAGTTTTCCAGCTTTCACGAGTTTCTGGCATTCTGGGATCTTTTCATCACAGGTGGAACTATAGTCCACTTCCATTTTTACTATTTTTCCGGAATCTGTGGCGATTGACTCCATTTTCAGCTAAAAAATGAAAATTAATGTCAAGTCACTCTAACCTTAAAACACTAATATCCTCTTAAAAAAAATAATTATTGCTTACAAACTAACTGCAGTACTTTAGATATTCACGTTTTGTACTTACTAAACTTACCTTTAATTTATCGCTACACAATAGCACTATCAAATCCGGTTAAACATAAATCAGTTAAATCACTAGTCATCAACAAATTTGACGTTTGAAAATTTATCTCTTGTCTCGCTCTCGCCTCTTCTACTTCTACTTCATAGGTGCGTTTTGTTGAATTGATTCCGGAATTGAATTATGCAGAATGGGCGTTTTATTGCAAAGATATTCTGAATCCGGTTGCAACTTTTGCTTCTGTGGTTTCAGTGTGGTTTGAGACGGAATTATTAGAATTAAGTGGGGGGGAGATCAAATTTGTGAGGTTACTTAGGTAGCTGGTGGTATAGGCCATGGAGACTATACATCTAGTCTCCATGGTATAGGCATTGGCCCGTTGAGATTCGGCATCTGTTTAATGTCAGATTTGATTCGAATCGTTTTATTGATAAATGTCATTCTAAAGAATCCAATAAATCTGGGATTGATCCAACAAAACGCACCTCATCTTCTTTACAACAGAACAAAATAACCAAAGATTATTAAGCCACATTTTTTTTCACTAAATGGGAAATATTTCATATAATTATATATGTTGCTTGTGCATATAAAATTATATCTTTTATAAACGAAGTACATTTACAATAAACGGAAATAAATATTAATTTTTATAACATCACACTTATTAAATGGGTTACCCTTAAGGCTTGTTTACACGGGGACAGTAAGTAAGTGGTAACTAAATTTTAAGTTACTGCTTTTTCTGCAAGTGCTGTTCGCACTGGTAAGGTCTAAGTTTAGTTGTTGGTAAGTTCTAGTGCAGTTTATAAATATTTGCAAACCTGTCGAGATGAACGTGAGGCAGCAGTTTGTAGAAGAATTTAATGGCATACTACGAGATATCCTAAATATTATATTAGAAGAAATAAATGAAGAAATATATGAAGAGAAAAATAGACCTAAACGACTTTGGGAAGCGAAAGTGGATCAGCAGGAGGGAAAAGTTCGGTGCAAGTCGTCAACTTGCACGAAAAAATAGAATAAATTCTATTCCAGTATACTAAATTTTTACTTGCTCCATAACTTGTTACTTACCACATATGCGCTGTTCAAATAGGTTCAAGTGACTTAAAATTTAGTTGACCGTCCCCGTGTCAACAAGCCATTAGAGCATATACATACTACCAGAGAAAACCTATCTCTGATACTACTGGAGGCAGCGTCCGAGAGTGTAGCGGAGGTTTAGAGAGAGAGAGATATAGGGGGTATTTGCTATCTCTCTCTCTAGCAACATGCAATTGCGTGCTGCCAGAGAGAGATAGCATATACCCTCCTATACGTCTCTCTCTAAACCTCCGCTACACTCTCTGCCACTGAGACGCTGCCTCCAGTAGTATATGCTCTAAGGAGTTATCATATTAATTTTTTCACTTTAGTTGTCTTATTGCTAAGGCTGGTACTTTCGCTTTCTTCATAAATACATGATATATTCTATTATTAGCTTCCACACTAGCTTTTTCCAATTTTAGTCTTAATTTTCTAAAAAAAGATTAATGAAGTTTCGATAATTGATGTCATTTATTTAGTTTAGAGAAAAATTTCCAATCCTTAATTTTACATAAAAAATAAAATAGGAAAAGATGTAGATCGTCTTAAAAATATTTCTGTAAATTTTATTTTGTAACAACTTTGTACTGTTTTCTTTTTTTACTCTGAAGTTTTTTTTGTTTTTAAACTCCATTCGTGTACACATTTACTCGACGTTACCCTAGCCTAACCAGTTTTAAGAACAAAGTTCTTTTTGTTTAGGTTGGCAGTGCTTAAGTTTGTGTTCGTAACGTAAGTTTGTACTTTTGTAAGAAAGAACAAGAAAGGAAAATATTTACGTTCACTGGTTCTGGAAGTGCAATGGTGTTGAAAGTTTATTAAAACGAAGAAAATATGGTGGTTTTATGATGTTTATTGACGAAATTTACAAGGTGAGCACAATTTACCTAAGTAAATATTTATTTAAAGCAAATATGTTTAGTACTTTACGTAAAATCTAATTATAATCTGTCTCCTTTAATGGAAAAAAAACTAGTAGTCGGAATCATCCAGATCATAATATAAAAGATGACGAGGATGGTAAAATAATCAAATTACAAGACACTACTTAATTAAACGAAACAAGTGGACTACTCTATGAGCATTCTCTTGTTCGTGTACAAATTATACTTCTTTTGGGAAACTTTTAAGGTTTACAGTAAAATCTAAAAATAAAAATTAGGTAGTCTCCACCACAAATAGGAAATAGGTAAATAGTGTTGTTTTTTCTGTTTTGCAATATTCTTTGGTGCTCTATAAACTCTGTTTCACAAGTTATGTAAATTCTGCAATCAGATTTGAGTCGTTAAATTAATTCATATGTGACTAATTTGAAGAAAAAATACATACTTTCTCTTTAAAAAAGCTTTATTTAAAAATCTTGTGATAGATTAATAATTAGGGAAATTAAGAAATATTGGATTTTTAGCACTTTTTGAAAATAACCCTTTTCCTGTGTTTCTTTCATTTATTGATAATATGTTTATAAATAACTTGAAACAGCTGTTGTGCTGCAATTAATGCATTGTATTTTTGAAATTTATTTTCAAACATTTGCAAGAAAAAATCCCATGAGTTATTGCTTTGTTTGATTATTAAACAATGTTGTTTATTTAATTCTGATCTGTTTTTTCCCCCCAACTTACTGTAGACGTTATGTTCTACATACTTTGTCTCAAAACATTGCTGATGTGTACAATTTTTACACAGCCTGAACGTTGTTTTGGTAAATTGTTATCCATTTCTTTCAGGTGGAAAAGGTAGTTGATCATATCTCTAGCAATAAGTGAGATATGGCCTCTAACAATGATACAGGAGGTGGAAGTAATGGTAAGTAATTAATTTTTTTCGGTTAGAGTGCACCTACTTAATCCGTATAAGCTGTTCAATGGCAATTTGTTATGCTTTATAAATTTATTTTGTGGCAAGAAATAAAAACTGGTAAACTGAGCCGATTTAAAAAGTGAATGTCTAGTCTATTTCATCATGCCTTATATTACATAGATTATTCTAATATTAGAGTTAAGCTAGAACATTTCTTTAAAGAATTGGGTTTTAAATCGAAAAATCTTAGATGTAACAGTTTTTGTGTGATTCTCTTATTAACAATATGTTCTTCTACAGCACCAGTAAAGCTGAACCGTTATTTATATTCATAAAAATATTAAGAAATTGAAGTGGAGATATTTTTCATGGAGTTTTCTAAGTTAAAATAGAGTATTCTTAGATTGGAAGTAAAAATAAATGGAATCCTCAAGTTTTTACTGTTATTAATTCAAAAATATTTTTGTCACAAAATTCTTTACTATATTTCCAGTTCTAACATTTCTTTGTCATGCAAAACGTAGTATTATCCTAAAAAAAAGTATTAATAGTTTAATATTCCTATTATTGAATATTGTTATTAATGGTTGCTAAATTCAATTTTCTTTTTTGCTTTACAAGCTAATTATAATTACTTCCCGCGATACAAAATTAAAGTGAACCATGTTTTTTCCTTTTTACATTAATAACATGACAGCTGTCTAATGTAAAACAAAAATATTGAGGTTAATTATGAGGTAGACCATTAAGCCTACAGTTAGTGGTGTCCCAAATGTTGTTCCATTACTGTATTACAATTTTTTAAACAATGTGAATTTAGAATTTGGTACAGCGGTCAATGTTCACATAATTAATTTGCAAGTTGCTGTTGATTTTTTCAGCCAACTTATTGTACAGGGTGTCCCGAAATTCATGCAACAAAATTTGGTCACAAACTCTTAAGACAAATTTAAGGGACTCGTATTTTTTATTTTTGCCAAGTCTTTCGGAGTTAAAGCCCCCTGAAGTCCACCCCTAAGAATAATCTTTTTTTAATATCTCAGAACCCTGTTGTACGAAAATCACTAAATTTGGTACACAGGGGTTTTATGACGTGGAATCTGATGGTGCTACGTTTTTTGGTGGGAAACCCCCTTAAGACAATTTTTCGTGGGCCCCTTTGTTTTTGGAGCCAAAAAAATTTGGTCGCATATTTAAATTTCTTAAAAATTATCAGTCCATAGAAAGCCATTAAATTTAGAAACTTTTTGTCTCTTTATACTTTTTTCGTAAAACGCAATGTTTTCGAGAAAAATGTCAAAATGTGATCGAATGCATATCGTGATTCGCCATTTTCCTCAAAAACATTGCGTTTTACGAAACAAATATCAAGAGACAAAAAAGTTTCTAAATTCAATGGCTTTCTAGCTAACTAATAATTTAAAAAAAAATCAAATTTGCGACCAAATTTTTCTGGTTCCAAAGACAAGGGGGCCCACGAAAAAGTGTCTTAAGGGGGTTTCTCGCCAAAAAGCGTAGCACTGTGAGATTCCACATGTCATAAAACCCCTGTGTACCAAATTTAGTGATTCTCGTACAACATGGTTTTGAGATATAAAAAAGACTTCTTAGGGGCAGACTTCAGGGGGCTGTAACACCGAAAGAGGGGGCCAGTTGGCAAAAAGAAAAAATAAGGGTCCCCTAAATTTGTCTTAAGAATCTATGACCAAATTTTGTTGCATTAATTTCGGGACACCCTGTATTATAAATATTATTTTTTTTAATTTATAGGAGGAAATACATTTTGTTAAATAACATAAAATACAATAAAATCCTTAAAGGATTTCAGTTTTTTAATGTTAATGGTAACTAATGTGGTTTTTCTTTGAGATGACCTCTGTTTATTAATATTACAAATGAAATGACCATGACTATTGTTTGAATAAAAACATTACTAATTGTTTTTAAAGTAAAGCCGACTTATTTATTTAAATACTGAGCTATGAAGTATATTGAACAATATATGAATATATTGATTTTGTTGAGGATAAATTTTAAAGTATTTAAATTATTTTCTAACAAGCCTTTTAAGCTACTTTTTTTTCATTCGCTTTGTTATGGAAAAATAAAAAATCAACGTTTATGTTAATTTGCTAGATTGTATAGAATAAAAATAAGGTCCTGAGATCTCTAAAAGGGTGGTACATATATTTGCTAAATTTTTTTTTCATAATCTGAATTAATTAATTCTTAATTTTTCTTAAAGTTAGCATTATGAAGTTTGAAAAATAGAATGTTAATATCAAATTAAACTTTAAATAGATATCACTATGAAGAGAAAATAATTTTGTAAAAAATAAAATAAATACTTTGCAAACGTATGTGCAATAATTTCAGAGATCTCAAGATCTGCCACCCCTATTTTAATTTTTTTATTGCAAATTTCCTTCGAAATTATTTCATTATGAAAGTTCTCTATTCAGGCTTTATCAAAATAATCTAGACATTCTAATAAGTCGGTCATGTTAAAAATAAATGCAAAAAACTACACTTTTTCAAGGCATGTAAAAATTACAATTTTCTTCAATTCTTCTAAGAAAACTTAGATTGTGGAAATAAATGTTATAGTAAAAATGGATTTCTACCCTTATGCAAATTACCCCTTACTGATACTGATTTTTCCACTTTACAATCTTATCACAATCATTTTTAGATTTAATCTTTTGTGTACAGAAAATGATAATTGGTTTGTCTGTCTACATTACATTGATAAGACTTTTTTTTACTATTTTGTTGAATTATGTGTTGTTAAAGTTCAAAAATCTATTCAGGGCCCCTCTGTATAGAATATTAAGCTATAGTGGGACTTTTTTTTGTAGGTACGCTCTCAAGAACTTACCCGACAAGAGAGTATGATGCACTTAAACAGCAGTTTGAGAAAACTAATAACGAATTAAGTACATCGAGAAGAAGGTGTGATCATGCACTCAGTGTAAGTACACAAAAATTAATTACAACAAAGACAGTGCATGGTTTTATTTTGGCAGTGCAGTACAGTTTATTTGCCTCTAATCTTGTACAGGATGTTCTGTTTTTTTACGTATGTTGAGCAGTTGTTTTGCCGTGGGGATAAAATTGTACCATCCTTCAGCGCAAGCTACGATTTCTGCCTAAAAAAGGAATAGCTTTATCAGAATCAGTTCCTGAAAATTGTGTTGTTTTATTCCTGTTTGTGTTCAGCACACAATTACATAAACTCGGGGTCTATCTATGAGTTATTCTTTAATTCTTTACATTTACCTTTTATTGCTTTACTGATAATAACAAAAATGAGTAATATACGTAGGCACGTTTATTATAAATTTACCTGTCGGCTTTTATTTACCCATTGTCTTAAGTGATACAAAAGCAATGTAGTCGATAAATTTGTAGTATCAGATAAAAGTGTTTACATTGTTATGAATGAATCATATAATTGCTTTAAAATAAGCTTTTGCCGGACATATATTTTTCTTCAGTATACATATATGTACACTTTTATTAAAAAATCTATAGAGCTAAAAGATTATTGTTCAACATATATTTTTGAGAAATACTTTTACTTACTTGCGACGTTATATTTTCTTTTACTGTTAATTCATCGATTCTAATAGATTAGTACCGGTGAATATTCATTTCTCAATTTCCCTAATGCGTAAGATTGGATTAAAGTGTAAAATTGCTTATAAATTAATTAGCAGGTCTTTAACTTAAAGTTCTTTACTTAAAAATTGAACTGACTAAAGCCGTCTTAAGTTTGCTGTATTTCAATGACTTGTAATTAAATGTATTTTAATGCATATTTGCGAAATAATTAAGATCGTAAGTATAAATAATAATAATTATTATACACAGTACACAAGTTATTCTGCAATTATTATGTAATGATAAAATATACAGGAGTTGCTAATGTCAAAATTTCCTTTTCAAAATATTTCATATTCAACTTGTTATTGACGGAACACAAAGTACTTTTCAAAAATCCACATTTTGAAAAAGCTGTAGGTTTTGTTACAGAAAATTAATTTTATTTATGTTTTTTGATAAATTTATGACGATAATTCAATTTTGGTTAATGGCGTAACATTTTTATTTTGACAAGTGGTCTAGTTATGATAATAGCAAATTATTGAGCTTCACATTGCATTACTATATGATGTTTAGTGACTAATGTACACTATGTTTCACTTTTCTTGGAGCTACCCTTATATCTTTGTCATTTTATTTATTTGTTTAATTTTAATTCACCGAGATAATACAATAATAAAATACAGAGATATATACATAAAAAAAGTAGCCAAAATAATTGAAAATAGAAAAGTAAATACTTCAGAATATCAACAGTTAAAACAATGTCATAATAATTAAAACAAAAACGGTAAATAGTACTGATTAACAACAAATAAAATGGTGTTAGTATACAAAAAAAAAATTAAAATAAAATTTTGACGAAACAGAATCGTTAACATTTGATTAAAGTGAGATGACTGCATAATATTAGTGTGAAAATATGGGGCAATAAATAAATTATAAATTGGATATAGGAATTCTGTAACCAATAACTGAGGTGAACATAATGCAGTTAATACCGTTATTAACAAATTTGTATGTGCCGGTACTTTTAGTCTAGATTAAATACACCATTAGCTAATCGGTCTACAAATTAATCCCAGTAAACTAACTGAAGTTTAAAGGATATTAGGTACTTTACGGTATTTTTAAACACTAGGTTAGATAAACTTCCAATTTTTATGTTGGTTGCACTTCATCCGACATACTCACTTCATCTGACATACTCACTTCATTTTCTTCTTTTTGGTACATCATATGATACAAATTTTTAATGGTAATTAATCAATCACATATGCATTAAATATTTTTATTTTATTTAGCCATGGGTTTGAATTAGGATAGTAGGAAAGACGTAAGTCCTACACAAATTTTAAATGTTATGTCATGATCATAGACCTTATAATGTAAAGTCTATGTTTATGATGCATGTCATGTGTCGTACATTTCTTGTCAAATCTATGATTTACTAATTACTTTTGCTGTGTGATATATTTATTCAAAGATGGCATTAAATATATGATCTTAAGCTATAAACTGGATAGCAAGATAAAAAGATGAACAAATTTTACTGGGAATGAAACCCGTCTCCTAATGAAATTATTGGCAACCCTTAGAGTTGCCCCATCTAAACTGATACATAGCATCAGTTTCATGATACCTACAATTGAAATAAGATATAAAAGGTGAAGATATAATATTGTAATAATACATACTACATGATATATCGCCATGGTTCAAAATATGTTCTATTGCTGGGAGCAAGATTGTCCTAACAGTGTTTTTGGGAAACCGAAATCTGTTGAAAAATTGTTCTTCTCTACACCTGTCAAAATGATTGATGCATATTTTCACTTCATATGTACGCAAATTATTCACGTAGTTGATCATTATCATCAAATAGCTCTTTCAATTCATTTAAATCCATTCCTTTTTTTCTATGCTTTGTCAAAAGCATCAAAATATGTTTCGTACTAAATGTGGTTAATCAGGCGAGAATCTCTGCAAGATGCTCCGATTATATTTAACTAAGGACACGCCCACTTTAACTCCTGGTCAGTAGTTGACAGTGCTTGAAAGTAACCGAAATGAACGATTAAAGTTTAACTGAGTGTTATATTTATCTAATCTAGACTGAAAGTACCGACCCCAAGAATGTTACAGAATTCTTCTATTAAGGCTATTCAAATCGTTTCAGTAAGAAATCTTGCGAAAACCCTCTACCTCGGTAAATCACATCCAATATATCCAATAAGAAGCTTGTTGATTTGAAAAACCTCTATAATTACCCTCTAAATATGATAAGTGAGTCATAATTTGGATTCCAAATTCAAAAGCATACTCCGATTTGTGTCTAACAAAACTATTAAGTAATATTTGTAATGTTTAATATTTATAAAGTCTTTACTATTATGAGTATTAAGGAAAATAAATCCCAAATTTTCGTAGGCCCCAACTATGCCTTCTTCCATATATTTAGTGAAAGTTAATTTGTAGTCAAAAATAACTGCCCTATCAAGTATAGTTATTACGATATCAATTGGAACCGCATAAAAACATTTAACTCATAAATTCTACGGAATCCATAGATGTCCAGAAAAATTTAGCCCTGTCTCGTCTAGATATACTATATTCCTAGCTATATTACCATATAATTACCATACGATTGTCAAGTTTATTATGTTTAAAATTGCATTGTAATAAAGCATGTAAAATATCTAAAGAATTATAATTATAATCAGGATAATCGCTTAAATTATCTAGAATCATATTTGAAGTAGGAACTTTATTTTCTTTATTCATATTGTAAATTGTGCACCACATTACGTCTGGTAAAGTCGTAAATTTTATTTAAATTTGTATTTTCCCGTTTTCTCTTTGTGCCGGGATCAATCCTTTAATTATGCGATAAATTGTCGTTTTTGATATCTTAGTTAATTCGTTAATCCGTTTCCTAACTTTTTTATCACATTGTTCACTATTTTCAATTTTCAAACATTCATATATATTTAATATAATACATTGACTTTTTACGTGTAAATCTTTGTTTTTAAACTGAGTTTGTTTCGATACTTTCGACCGATTCACTATTTGGGGATTTTTCCGAGTTATTTCACTATCTTCCGCTTCAAAGAGTCTCCAGAGAGCCATGCTAAATTACTAGATAATTACATATAACATTTATTTTAATAACTATTACCCTTTACTGGTTACGATATAAATAAATAATTATATCAACTAATAAATAATAATACGTATTATTAATGCTCTGCACTGGCAAAGCTAAGTGAACCCGTGTACCATACAAAAGAATTATTTACGACCTAGTGGACCAATACAGATTTGCTTTGATGACCAGCGCACCGCCATCAATTCTACATCAGGAGGACTAGTTTACCAATACCGGACTCGCCAAATTGCTATTCGAGTATAAATTACGAGACGCATCATGGTCAAACCATAGGAAGAAATTTCAGGAGAAGTGCATACGATCCTGTGCTTTAAGATTTACAGGTTCCAATTGACATTGTAACAACTATACATAATTATTTAAAAAATGAAAGTGAAATTGTTAAGAAGAAAATTTGCTCGAATTAGATGGCTTTATAAAAAACAAAAAGAAAAGGAAATTAATATCTGTCTTACTCAAAACTGAAGAACTAAATGTTTGGTTACCCATATTTTGAGTGCTTTTAAACATATTTTACTCAAACCTGATAGAGAGAGATTTCTGATGACACTAAATTAGAATACTTATAAATTGCAAATATATTTTTTAAAAAGTGCACCCCTTTTTTAAATTTAGTGCTGCACACCTATGACTAAAATCAAATCAACTTATATCAGAACAATAATTGCTTTCTGATAAATAATTAGTTCCTGTTAGAATATAAAAAGTTTCGATTTCAAATAAGTGAGATCTAGTAGTTTGTTGTAGACGAAGTTTAAGGAATTAACGCATATTTCCTCAGGATTTGGACTATTACCGAGAACAGCACAGAGCAGTCATGAACCAGCTGGAAGTCTCCTCCCAGGATTCCGCCTCTTTGCGCACCAAATACTCGGAGCTGTTGAACGAGAACAAACAGCTCCAGTCGGAGAACCAGCGTCTGTGCAAAGAACTGGCGGAACACAACGGCAACGCCTCCGACGCCCTCTTCATGTCCCACACGCAAGCCCTGTCGAAACTAGAAGTAGCGCAAGATGAAAACGCCCGACTGGCGAAGCAGTGCGGCGTGCTGGGGCAGGAAAGGGAGGCCGCCCAGAGAGACTGTGCGGGTCTGAAGCAGCAACTGGTGAAACTCTGCAAGGATTACGCGAAGTACAGGGAGGCGCACCAGAAGTTGCAGCAGCAGTACGAGGAGGCGGTCAATGTCACGATCAAGGCGAATAAGGACATTAAGAGGCTGACGGACGAGAGGAACGCCACCATGGCGGAATACACCTTGATTATGAGCGAAAGGTAGGTGACAGATTTTAGGTTATTTCTAATAATTTTCTCTAAAAAAATATATTATTTTTGTCTTATAAATCAATTTACTTTTTGGTGGATTATTTTTTTTATTTCTGTTCGACGTTACAAGGTGATTCAGAACTTATCCAAAAAAAATTTTTTAATATACAGGGGACTCGTACAAATACAATATTGTAAAAAAAAATCGAAAAGGGCAGTTTGAAAATAATTTAAAAATACACTTCTGCACGGCACTGGGAACTGGTCCACTGTAAAACTTGACCTTGCGTAAGGCAAAGTATGCAGCATGAACAGACAAAAAATTAAAAAAATTTCTTTCCCAAGAATAGAAATATGTAAAATTTTATAACACCTATTTTATATATCATTTCAACTACTATTTCTATGAAGTAACACAAATGTAGACAATATTTGTTTCACCACAACACAAAATGTTGTCTTGCTTCACCATAAATTAAGACGATCTCCAACAACTCCGAGTTACTATACACTTAAGTCATTTTTGACACTTGAAAAACTAATGTGAACACTATCGCAAATATGTTATTACAGTAGAATCTCTATAATCCGGCACTTCACTACACCGGCACGTCCAGTAATCCGGCGTTATTTTTTCCGCGTTTTTTACTATTCTTGAAGAATACAGTTTATACAGTTATAGTTTAGTTGAAAGATTATTTTACAGAAACATAAAAACATTACAATATACATATATATGCGTACACAACTGTAATATGTATGTATCTATGTACCAATCTCTTTGTTAATAAACAATTAAAAGTAACGTTTTTAATTTAATACTGTTTACATATACATTTTCCATTATTCTGAACTTAGATTAGTGAGATTGTACTGTACTAAAATCATATTTCAGTATTCGGAATCACCTGGGTCTACGTGGAGAAAGAGCGCATTGCTTACAGCGTACAACGCGAATGACCATATAGATTACAGTAGTCCAGCAATGAAAGGGTTGTAAATACCACAACTTCAATAATTTTTTTCGCGGAAACAGGATTTTACAAAAAAATTTTTTACAGTATTGACTCTAACTTCCATAACACATCCCCAAATTTTTTTGTATAAGTTGTGAATCACCCTGTATGTCATGTTTAAATTTAACATTTTTTGAGGTCTGATTTATAACGTTCTTTTTAATATTTTGTATCCTTTTTATATCGACGGTCTCATTTAGACATTGTAACAAACCGTAAAGGTTTTACACTATTTTTGAAACATTTTATACAAGGTGTCCAATTTATAGGTATACAGACAATTACAGAAAGAAAAAATTAAATTGAANAAAAATATATTTTAGTCTTATAAAATAATTTACTTTTTGTGGATTATTTTTGTATTTCTGTTTGACGTTACAAGGTGATTCAGAACTTATCCAAAAAAAGTTTTTGAATATACAGGGGATTCGTACAAATACAATATTGTAAAAAAAATTGAAAAGGGCAGTTTGAAAATGATTTAAAAATACACTTCTGCACGGCAATGGAAACTGGTCCACTGTAAAATCTGACCTTGCGCAAGGCAAAGCATGAACGGACAAAATATTGAAAAAATTTCTTTCCCAAGAATAGAAACAAGTACTTTTACTCTTACTTTCTACGTAGTAACACAAATGTAGACAACATTTGGTTCACCATAACACAAATGTTGTCTTGATTCACCATAAATTAAAATGATCTCCATCAATTCCAAGTCATTTTTGACACTTGAAAAACTAATGTAAACACTATTGCAAAAACATTATTACTAAAATCAGATTTCAGTATTTGGAATCACCTGGGTCCACATGGAGAAAGAGCGTACAGCACACAACACGAATGACGCTAGAGACTACAGTAGTCCAGCAATGTAAGGATTGTAAATACCACAACTTAAATAATTTTTTTCCCGGACACTATAAGGATTTTACAAAAATTTTTACAGTATTGACTCTATTTTCCATAACGCATCCCCAAATTTCTTTGGATAAGTTGTCAATCACCCTGTTTAAATTTAACATTTTTTAAGATCCCGATTTATAGCGTTCTTTTTAATATTTTGTATCCTTTTTATATCAACGGTCTCATTTAGACATTGTAACAAACCGTAAAGGTTTTACACTATTTTTGAAACATTTTATACAGGGTGTCCCATTTTATAGGTATACAGACAATTACAGAAAGAAAAAATTAAATTGAAATAATTTTAATTAATTTAATGACAAAGAAGCTCATATTTAAAAAAATTTTCAAAATTGTGGATACTAAGAATGGTGTCAGTTAGATGTCAGTTTTTGGAAAATTGTATTAACATTTTTTTTAATCTGAAATCTAATGACATGGTGTAGTTTTGAATATATATCATATCTATACTGAAACTGCCTTTGACCTTTAGAAACATGTATTGTAAGTTTGTTTTCTCAAATTCCATAGTGAAATCTGATTTTGTTAAANGTGGTTTTGAAACCTTTATAAGAGGTTGTTAGGGTATAAAAAAGATTTTGGAGTCCAGTCGAAAAAAAATTTAATGCATAAACACCAATTAGTATGTAAAAATAAACTACAATTGACCTGGATTTCTTTTTTATGAGTCAGGGAAAACCTGGAAAAGTCAGGGAATTCTTTATTACTTTTGAACTATGAACCCTGACACTGCATACCGCTTTAAATTTGACAATAAAATTAAACTAATAGTACACATCATCGCACAAATTGTGTTCCAGTAAAACTGAAAACTAAATTAAAATGAAGTGGTGACATATTTGGCCATCCTCTTTTTCTTGATTTAACGTTGGCCGTTTGTGTTTTTACCTATGTAGCGTCCTGTTGTCATATCACATCAGGAGATGTTCACCTAAACTAGGTCATTGTCAGAGGTCATCGACATTATGTTTCACAAATAAGTTATTTGAAATAACTTATTTGAATCAATTTAAAATCACTGAAAATTTCGCAAATAAATAAATACAGGCCATATTTTTAATTACAAACTTGAAATGATTAACAAATATTTAATTTAAAATTTTTTTATTTTTTGTTTTTTATTATGTACATTTTGTAAAACATAATTATTAACATATGCATATTAGGGTAGCCAAAAAAAAACGAATATATTTTTTTCGTCTCTTGTGAAAATATATTAGTTTGTCATGTTTTAAGAGCCCTTTCAAAAAATCAGCTCAAAAAAAATGTTTGTCGCAAGCTTTTTAAAAATTTCCAAAATCGTCAAAAATTGATTTTTTTTTAAAATTTTTTTTCTCGTTATTTTATCATTTTCTAGGTTCAAAAAAATCTCGATTGTGAAAATTTCAAATCGATATTTTAATTTCTAAAGGTCGCTCATAATTATTTTAACTTTCAAAGTAGTGTACCTATGTTTTCGAGCAACCTCTAAAAATAAATGTCAACAAACTAATAATTTTAAATTTTTTTTATTGAATTTGATGAACAAAAGAACAGAAATAAATCACGATACACTTAAATTTTAAAAAATTAAAAACAAATATTTAATACTCACAATGCGGTAGAAAATTTTGCCTCGAGGAGAAATTTTTTAAGCGTCTCGTGATTTATTTCTATTCTTTTGTTCATCAAATTCAATAAAAAAAATTATTAGTTTGTTGATATTTATTTTTAGAGGTCGCTCGAAAATATTTTAGGTACACTACTTTTAAAGTTAAAATAATTATGAGTGACCTTTAGAAATTAAAATTTCGATTTGAAATTTTTACAATCGAGATTTTTTTCTACCTAGAAAATGATAAAATAACGAGAAAAAAATTCAATTTTTGACGATTTTGCAAATTTTTAAAAATCTTGAGTGACCTCTAAAAAATTTTTTTGAGCTGATTTTTAGATGGGGCACTACAAATGTCGGTTAATATTTTATTTAATAATAAATCATACAAAAAATAATTTTTTTTAAACTTGAAATTTTTTTTGTTTGGTGCTTTGTCTGCATTGACTAAAAAAAATGTGGTGGCTTTAAAATAACGTGGCAAAATCATACAAAAACAATCTGTTTTTACATAATTATATTTCGTTGCAGTTTCGTCATTCTTTGCCACTCCATTAGTTTTAATACAATTGGTTTAAAAACGTAACAGTAGGCAACGAGTGCTCGATGGCTGTGTAGAAAAGAGTTTAAGTGCAGTTTGAAACACGAATTACAACTAGACTAGTTAGTGACTTAAAAAATTTAAAAATAATTTCAGATTAGTATTCTGGGGAACATTATACTTTTACCCTTAAAAACTGACCGCCACATTAGTACAACGTGTACATTTAAAAATGTAAATATGTTTTGATCTTCTTTAAATTATTTCATTTTTTGTTCATTTAAATTTTTTCTGAGTAGATGCTGAAAAAGGAGCAATTTGCACTTTTTACAATTTTTTTAAATAAATTAAGGTGAGATGTAGAATAACATCATGTTATTAGGTTTTGGAAAAGTAATAGGTGATTTTTCATGAATTGGCACGTAGTTTCCAGATTTGCACGATCTTAGGGTCAGTTTAATAAAAAATGTTTGAATGAACTTTACTTACTGTGTTAATAGTCTGTCTCGGGTGCAAAATTTCAACATTTTCGACTGTTTTTTTTTCTGGGTAGTTCAAAACGTAAAGATGGCATAGTTTTGATATAGGGTAAGCACATTTCAACATCTTCAGTTACCTCTTAAACGGATGTTTTTCACTTTTAGTCGTTTTTTTGTAATTATGAATTTTTTTTTTTGTAGAACTCATTGACATATTTTTCTATAGCTTCCAGTTTATCAGTGATGTCCAAAGCATTTTAAATGAAATCTCCTATTTAGTGTTCAATATTTGAAACCTGTGTAATTTTTTTCCAAATGGTGTATTATAAATGATATTTATGAAAAAAATGTTTGTATAACAAAAACCCCTCAAAAGTGCCCACACCTACAAATTAGGACATGCTGTATATAAACTGTATTTTTTGAATTACCACTTAGAAAACAAAAAAAAATACATATTTTTTTTATTTTCTACGCTAAATTGGCAGTGAAGTTTCAGAATATTTATTACAATATAAAATATAATAATTTAAAAATCCTTTATATACGTCTAATTTACCTCACGTGTATATTTAAACAGCAATTATCATTGTTCCAAAAATAAACAAGACCAAAGTGTAAATAATACTTATCACGAAACACATTCTGCAACAATTATCACGCGTCGCGATTCAAGCCTTTCCATTATGTTGCCACCTCTGCCTTGACAGGGACACGGTGCACAAAGAAATGGAAAAACTCAGCGACGATCTCACCCAAGCCATGAAGAAGATAAAACACCTCGACGCCAGCAACCAGGAACTGCAGGAGGAGAAAAGGGCGCTGACTTACCAGCTCGAATCGTTGAGGAGGGAGATCGCCAGCGCCTTGCACGAACGCGATAAGGCTCTCAAAGAGTGCAACGATTTGCGGGAGAAATTTGGGGAGCTGGGAGCGACGGCCGAGGATGGACGGCTGCTGTTAGGTAGGAAATTTATTGTTATATTTACAGGGTGTCGCAGTATTTCATGTACTAGAAATTTGAGCAGATAACAGTTTAACTTAGTTTTATTGAAAGTTGCTTCGTTTAGCCACTAGATGACATCGAATGTTAGTAAGAATGTTTCATTTTTTCCAGATACTAAAAGGCTTTGTTCAATTTTAATTAATGGTGTGCTAGTACTTGTGTATGTCACTTTCAGTGATATCAGCGGCCCGCAGTGGGAAATATTGGACAAAATTCTCGCCACTCGCCAATTTTCATCGTCACGTCGTGATTTTTTTTTAATAATCTCCTGGTTATGTTTTTTAGATTCAAATTCATGGTTTGGGTATAACATGTTACGTAGGGTTCTATTGAATCTATTTCGTACTTTTGGCATGTAAAAAAATTTTTTTCCAATGTAAATTTCGTTTAAGGCTTTTAGGTTAGAATTAATAATTTTGAGGTTAGGTTTTTGAAGAAAAAACATCAGATATATCATCAAGGGTCATAATAATCAATTTTATTAATAGCAGATACTTTTTAAACATTTTTTTCTACAACTGAACATCGAGTATTTAAAAATTTTTTCTTCGACATTGAGGTTGGTCCTTAAGCATTAAAAAAAAAGGGTTTTTCGAAAAAACCTCACCGAAATATGAAAATTCAGATTACCACGAGATTATTAAAAAAAAAATCACGACGAAACGATGAAAATTAGCGAGTGGCGAGAATTTTGTCCAATATTTCCCACTGTGCGCCTCCTCAATATTTTTTTGCTGGTGAATCAATCAATTTTCATGAAGGATCATCGAGAACCTATTTAACATCCCGTTATTTTAAAAAATAATTGCTCGCAGTTGTTTACAATTTCCAATTACGACATTTTTCAGGTGACCAAACGAAGAAGTCCAGAGGTCGCCTCCTGGACAGCCTGGGGGCCCTGGGCGACGGCCAGGGCCGCAAGGAGCTCATGCGCGAGGATGCCAGATCCATCAGCCAACGCCAGCGCCTGGACAACCTGGACCAAGCCAACCAGGAACTGGAATCTCTCAGAAAGAGCCTCGACAAGGCCCAGACTGAATTGGCCGAGGCCGTGCAGGAGGCCGAGGTGTCGAAGGGCCGCCGGGACTGGGCCTTCAGCGAGCGGGACAAGATTGTTCTCGAACGTGAGAGCATCAGGACCCTATGTGATAATATGCGTAAGGAACGCGACAGGGCTGTGTCCGAACTAGCAGAATCTCTACGTGAATCTGACGCTGTGAAGAAGCAGCGGAACGAATTGTTGAAGGAAACCAAAGCGCTGCGCGAGGCCCTCGAGGTGCACCTGGATCGCGAGAACAGGTCGTTGCACTCCCAAGACGAGGCTCAGGACCACTCCTGCGGCCATACTGAAGTAGTGGAGCTCGAATTGACAGCCGCCGACGAGGAAGGACTTGAATTTGCCGGCGGCAGGGATTTTCCCAGAGACGGCTCTGTATACGTTGCTTCGGTAGCGCCCGGATCGCCCGCCATAGGGAAACTCTTCCCTCACGATCGTATCCTGAGAGTTAACGACGTAGACTGTAGCCAGGCGTCGCTCAGGATGGTAACAGAGGCGATCAGATCCACCATGCCGGTGGCACGGGTTCTGGTGAAAAGGACGAGGTGTGCGAGAAACGAAATTCGCACCACTGGAGAGCAAGTGACGAAATGGATACATACCGCGAGACTGGCACCGGGATGCCATGGTCTGTCCTTGAAGATGGGTGTGTACATTAACAGGATTAGCGACGGTAGCCTAGCGGCAAGGGATAAAAGTTTGACTGTTGGGGACAGGGTCCTGAGGGTGAGTTGTTTCATTATTTAAAACAAGGTCGTTAATAATAATGATTTTTTGTTTTTATTAATTTCTTATTTTAACCATATAATTTTTTTTATTACGTATTTTTCTTTATTGACTTCTTGAAAATAATAATTTTTTTAACTATTTTATTATTTATTAATTTTTTTATTTTATTTAACTATTTTTTGAAAATTTTTTGATGAATTTTTTTTAATCTCTTATTTTAACCACTTAATTGTCTGTATTTAAGTATTTTTTTTATTAACTTCTTGAAAATAACAGATTTGGTAAAGTAATTTATGAAATGATAGGATTATTTACTTTTAAAGTGTTTTTGAAAATTAGGAACAAGTTAGGGATTGAAAAAGGGTCTAAATTGGTAGTTTTTCTTGGTGGGATAATTTTCAGGCTGGTTCTTGGGACTTCTTGAGGTTTCGAGAAACATGTTGCTCTTTTCTTCAGAAAAAATTTTAAAAGTGGATATTAAGTCCTCTGGCTGGTATTTATATTTGGCGTGTACACTCATTCATAGCTTTCGAGTGCAGGGCTTGCAGTCATTGGCCGCTTTCATTCTAGTCCTCTATTTGTGAGGATATCATTTCCAAATTCCAGGTAGTTCTAACCTTTCGTCTGGATAGAAATCGTGTCGATTTTCTGGATTTCTATTGCTTTCCTGCAGAGTATTGGCCAAAACCTCTGTGTCACCAGAATTCTACTATTAGTTAGTCTGCCCCGTGTTCTGTATCTGCTCATTTTCCTACATTGTCTTCCCTTTGATCCAGTGTATACTTTTCCATATATACACGGGACATTGCATACACTATGGCTTGGAGTAGATGGTTTCTGCAGCTCATGGGAAAGCCTGTCCCTATCTTCCTCAAAGTGCTGTTAAGATTGTGTTTGCTTAACTTGAGTATCAATTTTTAATGAAGTTGTTCGAAATGTGTGCAATTAACAATTGCAATGTCAAGAAATTTATTACATACACGTACTCTATGCGTAAATCTAAACATTTCGAAAACAGTTCGATGTGAATGGAGAATGTTTTTCATTTTAAAAATGTATGTATGTGGGGAATTTGCCTTTTTGTTTTTAAATTATATTGTTTAATTTCTCATCTAAAATTCTCTCCCTCTCTCGTTAAAAATCATAATTTCACTAAATTCGTTAATTAAAATCAAATATTTTAATTAATTAATTCATAAATCGTTTTTTTTTGTCAATTTCTGTCGCTCTATAAACCCATGTTTGTTGTTAGATAAACGATAAATCCATGGATGACATCGAGAGCGCCCATGAAGCCATGCGCGTCCTGAACGATGACTCGACCGACGTCATAAACATAACCACCTTGAAAATGAGCTACCCTGAATGTCCGAACGTCTTCACCCCAGTCCGAAGGCACAAAAAGGAGAACCGTAGTTCTCAAACGGAGGATTGGCTGTCTGGTGACTACAAGTACGGCAACCAAGAGAAGAACAATGGAGGGGCTTGGTTGAAAGAGAAATTGGAAATGATGCGAAACCCTTGGAAGACCAAAGAGGAGAAGAAGAAGTACAGGAACAGCTCCCCCAATCCGATAGATTTCGGGCACGAGCAGGCTATAGCAGAGCTGGATCTCGTCCTGGATAGCTATCATCATGGTACGATTAAAAGGAGTGGAGGTAAGTTTATTTATGAATTATCGTTAATTCCACTTATTCCACCGTTTTCCGTTAATATTTCGGTTTATTCAGACTTATTTAAGTTTATTCTGACTTACACCCATTTATTCATTGTTTTATGTATTATAGCTCATTTATTACAAGTGTTTCTATCTTTTTTGAGCTTTTTAAGGCCTCGGAAAGTTTAACTTTACTTACTTTCTTCTTGGAAATCAAAATAGCTCTCATTGATGGCAGAAACGTATTCGAAATAAAATTAAATCACATCAATAAAACAAAAATGAACCCTCAAAGATCACACTTGAGGTGAGGCATTAAAAGCTAGGTTAATGACCGAATGTTACGGTTGGTCAAGATTCATTATGGTTAAACATTTATGAGTCAGCGGTCCGGAGCGATCCGAAAAGGGGGTTTAAATAACGATTTGAAAATATTTTTTCATCGCAAATATGGTTTAAATTTTTTTTAATAGTGTATTCGTTTTCTGCCTTAAAGGTCACACTATTGCGAATTGGAGTTTTACCAATTTTGAACCTTTATGTCTTCTTTATTTGTTAACGAAAACAACATATATATATCAAAACTGGGGTAAAATTTTCTGAGAAATCGAATGATGTAATTAGTTTAACAAAAAAAAATTAATTTGTTAATAAAAAAATGCGAAAAAAAACATTTTTCAAAAAATGTCTTAAATTCGTATTGTTTTTATAAATAATGGCTAGAGAAAAAGTAAAAAAAAAGAATTTTGCAGTTCAAAATCTATATTTTTAAGAAAAAAATACCCCATTATCAATTTTTCCCGGTATCCTGAATATCGGCTTTTTTGAAGTTTGTTTTGAAGTTGATTTTTGGCTCCTTCTCTGTAAATTGATGTTTATTTTGCACTTTTTTGTATAAAAATATCAGTTTAAACAATATTATCCATAAATAACAGTAACTGGTAATTTTTCACGAATTTAAAATAAAATTGTTCTAGGACCATTTTTAGCCAAAATAGCGTTGTTTTTTTTATTTCATAACTTGTTTATTTATAAACATTAAGAACTTCATAATAACGGTTAAAGATATTGAAAAAATGCATTTTATAGTAATTTTTAACCCTTTAAAAAACGTCCTCGAATACATTTTTACACCTGTGGTGGGGGAATAAGACAGAAACATTCCGAGACTTTAAATCTTAATTACCCGAAAATTTTGCGATATCTCCGGTAATTGTGGACCAATTTTAATGTTTTTTTTTTAATCTGGCGTAGCACATGAAAATAATAACTGCACGGTCCATTTTGCAATAATTAATTAGTAATTTGTTATAAACTATAAATTTTGTAAAAATATGTTATTTTCTGAATTTTTTTACATAAAAATATTGTTTTTTAAGAAAAATTTTTATTTGTACCGTTGTGAATAATTATTTCTCGAAAAAATGTGAAAAAATTTTTTTACAAAGATTTGAAGTCTTGGAACGTTTCTGACTTATTTCCCCCACCACAATCCAGTTGTAAAAATGTATTCGAGGTCGTTTTTTAAAGGGTTGAAAACTACTATAAAATGCATTTTTTCGATATCTTTAACCGTTATTATGAAGTCTAAGGATTGATTGATTTATTTCCGAAATTTCAAGTCTTAATGTTTATAAATGAACAAGTTATGAATTTAAAAAAAAACTCTACCTCGGCTAAAAATGGTCCTGATTACGAATATCAAAGCGGCTTTAAAAATATTCATTCTTCGCAAAGTTATTAACGAAAAAGCTTATAAACAAATTACACTATTTATTTATATGTCTTTTTGAGGAGGTTAGCCTATGAAATTACAATTTCCAATTACACAGCTAAAAAACTCAATTTTTGGTAATTTTTACATTATAATTGTTGTTTAAACAATGATGTTGTTGTTTTAAACTGATACTTTTCAGGAAATATTATTTCTTTTTTGCCTAAACTAACGATTAAACCGAGTTTCAATCTGAAACGAATTACCTTCTGATTTACATGTATTACAAATTTCATTTAGGTTAAAAACATTGATTTTAGATTCCATGTATGTATTTATACATTAGTAAGGTTATGTATATGTTGGAACTAGTAGTACTACTAATACGGACAAGCCCCATTTTCACAGAACTCTTATTTCAGGAGCCAAAAGGCACTTGACACAAACCAAAGAAGAGAAAAACAACGGCGGCACCTGGCCCAAAGCCAGAGCAGCCCCGGTACTGACACAGAGCGGCGGCACCGTCGTCACTCGCACTAAAGAACGACCGCCTCTCTCGTTACTCCCCACACCAAAAGACAACCAACTCCAAGACAATTACAACTACAGGAACTCCACGCCCGTGCCTATTTCCGTCATGCCCTCGAGTATGCCTCCGAGTTACACCAGGCATTCGGTGTACAAGAGCGTGGACACGTCTCACCATTTCGGGATGGCGACGGATTCTTTTGATAGATTGAGATCTGCGAATAATGCGAATAGACTGAGCGTCAACGTCAACTCTGATAATAGTCTGGATTTTCCCGTGCACCGGTTCGTGGACAAGGAAGTGATGAACTACTATAAGAAGAATAATAGATCTGGTGAGTATTTCACGATGTATTAATAATTATTTATTGTAAACTTATTTGTATGTTCATAATGTAAATGTATAACATATCGGTCAAGAAGTCCCGGGACCAATCCATAGATGGCGCCACAAATCAAAAATCTGTGTGGTAGATAGTAAGAGCCTTTAAAGAAATGTGTCAATTCTAATCCTATATAATTTTCTACACTAATTTCAACTAATATTTCAGCAAAAAATTGATATATTGAGTCACTTTTTTAAGAATTTTTCTATAAAAATCACTGAAATATTGTAATTTTTTAATTTTTGTTCATTTTGTGCAAAAAAGATACAAAATATATGATGATGTAGTTCGATTCTCTCATTCCGATAATTATTGGCATTTGCATTAGCGTTTTGTTGCAGTTACATCCATTATTATTGGTCGTTTTTGGTACTGCCATTTAGGGTGCAGAATTGATTGTTTATATTTGAACCTCTTTCAATAAGTATCATTCTACCACTTTAACCTTATTTCGAGGGATTCGAGTGAAATATTATAAACAAAAAAGTTATTTTCAGTAATCCCCAAGTATGGATCTGACTCGGAGAGAGACAGCATAGTGAGCGGCGCGCACGAAGTGATGCCCACGCACAGCAGAGGCCACAGCCAACTGTTCGTTCCACCGAGGATACACTACCCCTTTCATCCCCACCCGCACCCCCATCTGAACCATTCCCGCGAGAGCTTCAGTTTCGAACCGTTCCACCACATTCACAGCCCTTCCGTTGACGTGAATGGCGCCCGCAGACCGCCCGATTTGCTCGAATCGGGAGGGACATTTCCCAGGAAGAACCAGAGGTTTCGGGTGCCCTCCAATCCCAGCGTCACCAGCAAGGTTAGTTAATTTTGTCCGTTTGTTTCGATAAGAAGTTGACTGTCGAGGGTCGAAACGATTGTTTTTTGTTTACAGTCTACTTAAAAGTCACTTCTAACCTATAAAATTTCACTAATATTTTGACATATAAATTTGTTGTACAGGTTAATGTAACCTCAGGCACCGCTGCGAGCTATGACATGCATTGTTGTCAAATCTCCTGTTGGATTTACATATATGTTTTTTCGGTCATTCTCGTTTTGCTAATTAACGTTGGTCATTTGTTTTTTTTGCTCGTCTAGCGCTCTGTTGTCATATCACATCAGGTGGATTGATATTATGTAGTTCACCTAAACTAGGTTGTGTCGGAGGTCATTGACACTGTGATTAATAAACTAAACACAGTGCTTTCAGAAAATAGAAACAAATACTTTTTATTAAAAACTTGAAATGTTTTTGTAGGAGCATCGGAATCATTTACAGAAAAATTGAACCACAGACGACATCACTACAAAACATTAATATGAATTTCAGGTTCACAAAGCATTTTGTAACTAGAAACATAAGCTAACCTCACTTCTCCCATACTGCACTATAGCGCTGACCTAGAGACTAGTTCAGCGCTATGTTCTAGTTAAAGCTGTTTCACACACAACAATTTATTGGACAATAAATTGAACAAAAAATTGGGGATATAGGACATGTTTTAATTTGTTGGTCAATTTTAGGCATATCTAGTTACATTTTGTATTTTTTTTTTAAATGCCAACCCAATTATGATGATTTGAGCCAACATTTCAATGTCATTTGACGAACAATGGAATTCGATGTTGCTATCAATGAAATTGGCCAATAAATTGTTGCAAATTAATTAATTTGTTGAGAAATAAATTGTCAATTTATCGTTCAATAAATTGTTGTGTGTAAAACAACTTTTGCAACTTTACTTACTGATAGAACTCCTCAAAATAGAAAAAAAGTTCTTAGAAACATAGGTTAGGAAATACAGTGAAAATTGGTTATAACGACATTGCTTTATACGACATATTGGATATGACAAAATTTGGAAGTCCCGATTTAATTCTATAGAAATACCGTATTAAAAATGTCGAAGAGAAAAATATTTAATAAAGGAGAAAAATCACATACAGGGTGTTTATAAATAAGAGTGAAACATTTTATCGGGTGGTTGACAAAGTTATTTTGTGAAAAAAGGTTCATATAAACGCAGGTCGAAATATGCTTCGTTTCCGAGATACAGAGTGTTTAAATTTTAAGTTTTTATTTACTTATTTCAAAGAGTTCTAAAGATTTGACTCGAAATTAGAAAAACGCTTTGGAGGGAGAATGCCACAATCTTTTTTAATAAAAAAAAATGGTACGCCGCAGACTTTTTCCCGTTTTGATATTTTTTTAGAAATCCGCCATTAATTCTGAATGAAATTGGTCTCTTCAATTTTTTTCGCAGGATGCGCCGTTTTTGAGGGAAAAAAATAAAACATATTTTATTGTAGGTTTTGTTAATCTTTTATTTAAAGGTGCAAGTAGAAATATTCGGATCACCCTAAAAAAATATACTTTTATCCCTCCAAAGCATTTTTCAAATTTCGAGTCAATATTTTTCAAACTCTGAAATAACTAATAAAAATAAATAAAAAATTTAAATTTAAACACTGTATTTCGGAAACGAAGCATATTTCGACCTACGTTTATATGAACATTTTTTACAAAATAGCTTCGGCAACCACCCCCTAAAATATTTCGCACTTATTTAGAAACACCCATAAAGATTAAAAAACAGAGAAACTAATGCAAGCAAGCAAAAGAATGTGGCGTGTCACTACGATTTCAACAATTGAACAAAGATTGAAACAAAGTAAATTCGTAAACAATTCATTGAAAACGAAGCGTGTGAGATCTTTTGAACACAAAGCAATACATGTACATCCTTAAAGACTACTTGTATTGTTCATAATTTTTTCTATAAAAATTTTAAATAAAATATGTGTAGGTAACTGCTTATTATGTCTGACGGTTATAACAACCGTAAACAAACGGTCCCTTGAAGGTCGTTATAACCGATTTTCACTGTGCTTAGTTTCACGTGAGGGGCATTCAAACTGTTACTGAAATTGGATTTTTGAATATTAGGTATTGTACTTTTTATTAGTGATGACACCATAAATTTTAATGATCAAAGTCGGTAACCATAAATTACCAGTCTCATTAAAAAACTGCCGTCAATTATTTTAAACTACCAATTTACTTTTTCAATAATTCCTTTGAAATCGATGTTTACAGTTCTTAAGAGGGTTCTATAGCAATACATTTTTATAGTTTTTGTTACACAGTTTAGTTTGTCTAAATATGAATTAATGCACAAATAACACACTTTCCCCCATTCTTATGCAGTTTTTCTATAAAATGGACTTATTTTGAAATTCAAATTACTTTTTGGGGTAGGTAAAGAAATTTGTAATTTACGATGCCGCTTGTTCAAAAGTGGCAAATTACAAATTTCTTTACAACAAAACGTAATCTGAGTCTCAACCTAAGTCCAGTTTATAGAAAATCTGCGTTAAAATGGGGGAAAGTCTGTTATTTGTGCATTCATTCATATTTAGACAAAGTGTGTAACAAAATCTATAAAAATGTACTGCTAGTTGCCTCTCTGCTATAGAACACCCTTAATAATTTTCTTCCATATATTTTTCTTTCTTGAAAAAATTGCCAAAGTCGACAGTTTAATGTAGAATTATTTATGAGAAAACATTTGATAAAATGTCCCATAACGGTACAAACACTATTTAGAAATGAAACTTTGGGAATTTTGTAAATAAGTATTTACAGTATCGTTTTAACGAATTTTCAGCTTCACATAATGTGTTTTAAAACTTACCCTTAAGTAGCGGCTTATGACATTGAGAATAGATTGATTGACTAAAAAAGAAAAAAAAAAATCTAGGTCAAAGCTTTAAATGAATCTGGAAATACACCATCGCATATGTGTGTCCTCTTTTTGTAAATCATCCTACAATTTTGCACATAATTCATTGAAACTTCCAATAGACATTCGAAAGTGATTAAAAAATTTTGAGCTATCCTCTCGTAGCTCATGAAATAATGTTACAAATTCGGCCATTGTCTGCTTCTTAGTAGTGGACGAATCCAAAATTTTCTTGTTCTTGGTGTTTTTCTGCGATTATATCATTAACAACATGCACCTTTTTCTTTCGTCCATCGTGGTACACATGTGGTACGTGAAGGCGAAATGCCGCGCGGTCTACTAAAAACCGTGCACGGTGTTTGCAAAGCAAATTAAATTATGGCACAGCTACCGTTAGGAAATCGTGTGTGTGAAAGAAGCTCAGGCGATGGGCGATGATGATGCTGCATCTTTTCCGCGTCACTTCCCCCACGCCGTAGTTTACTCACATGTTGGCCGCCTCGTTGCCATGAAAACCGCCATAAACAACGCTACGAAGTGAAATACAAACTGATTTTCATCCGCGTCACTTGCTTATGCTATACGTTGGATGGTATGAGGTTGATGTTCGCGCTCAACGAAGGCAATGTTTTTTAGAAGACCAAGATTAGAATACAACATGCAACGCGGTCAAGCAACTGTCGGTTAAAATCATAAACTTTCATGCAAGTAAAAATCTGTTTTGAAAGTACTGGAAGAGGGGGCGATCTGCCAAACATGTTCTCTCTTTTTTACTTATTTTGAAGAGTACCATGTAAAGTTTGGACAATGCAATTTGGGCACCCTGTCCCACAATTATGCGTGCCTATTGTTGTCGTGGATAACATTAGACGTCGAATTAATCTATTTTTTTAATTTTAGAACACTGTTCAAAAAAGTGTTTTTTGACACTCAATAGCAAAATATTTTTACATTTTTGATTGAAACATTCTAAAACCAAAAATTACTATTTCCACATTTATTTTTCTTTATTACTAGGTTAGTACGGGGAGCATCGAGCGGGGCAGTTCGGAACGTGGCAGCCCCATGCCCGTCATCCACGTGGAAGTCCTGAGCAGTCCCGGGGACCACTCAGGATCTTCCAACACCACCCCCAAAGACTACTGCCCGTGGGGCCACAAGCCGGTGCCCGGCGAGCTGAGACGTGTCCACATCGATAAATTCAACGAGCCTCTCGGCATCCAAATCAACTGTCCCGACACCGGCGGCATATTCGTCTCCACCGTGAACGAGAATAGCCTGGCGAGTCGTGTCGGTCTACAGATCGGAGACCAGCTGTTAGAAGTATGCGGGATTAACATGAGGAACGCCACTTATAACTTGGCGGCGAATGTTTTGAGGCAATGCGGAAATTCCATAACGATGCTAGTGCAGTATAGTCCGGATAAGTACCACGAGTTGGAGGGAGACGCCGAGTCCTGTTCGGGATCGACCTCGAATTCTGACGATGACGAAGAAGAGGCGGACGGTGAGGCGACGCCCTGTAATTCGCCGAAGGAGGTGAGGAAGAGTTCTTCGTTGCAGATGAAACCGTCGCAGTTGATGGTCATGCAGAGGCAGACGCAGAACGTTTCGACAGGCGGGAGTGCACGGTGAGTCAAATTAAAAAAATAAAGATCAAACGTTAAATCATTAAATTTAAAAAAAATGGTACGGTTGTATGTTTCTGATACGAGTTCAATTCTTTCACGTAACTCATCTTCAACTGTCTTGATTTAATACATTTTCACAGGTAGAAATCGCGTAGAGAAGAAAAATTTTTATAGCACTCCGTATAGAGCCGAGATGCTTGTATGAAATTTTGTAGACATTCTCCGTAAATTAAAGTCATGTCTAAAAGTTTTTGACAGAAACGTTTATCTTTACTGATTAAAAAAGTTGTAAAGCTTCAATTAAACAAAATTTGTCTACTGGTTTCTGCTCCATAAATAAAAACAATTTCCTCGCAGTTAATCCAGTGACAGGATAAAGAAACAAAGAAATATTAATTGCCGTACAGATTATATGTCATAAAAACACATCTTCAGTGTGTCGTAATCATTTCTTGTTTATAGAACTACGGAAGAGCCGCGATATTTATGCATCGAAACCCTGAAGACCTCCAACCTGGGTATATCTCTAGTCGGAGGCAACGCGGCCGGTATCTTCATCCACTCTGTCCAACCGGACTCCTTGGCTTACCATGCTGGACTGAGAACCGGGGACCAAATACTCGAATACAATGGTAGCGATCTTAGGGCAGCTACCGCCGAAGAAGCGGCGTACGAACTGGCCAAGCCGGCGGACAAGGTCACCGTTCTCGCTCACTATCGAATCGACAGTAAGTGATTCATATGACGTTAAAAAAATTTCTTTCAGAATTATTTTCAGTATTTTTTTTTACTTTTTAATTATAATTAGTGTTGTTAAATGTCATGAAGCCTATAAATTTTTAAAAATTTTGAATGAAATTTAAAAAAAATTGAAATGGATGAAATTTTCATAAATTTCATAATTTTCATATTCTACTTGAAATTTCATGTTATTGATGCTCTTTTCACACTCTGTCTACTACTTCGGAGTATCTACATGTTTATATTTTTTAAAACCGTAAAGGTTTCGTTTTTGAGGCATTGATGAACGCCAGCGATCGTTGCCAAAGACACTGAATTTAATCCTTCCAGAATACAACGAAATAAAGGACAAGCCGGGAGACAGCCTCTATGTCCGTTGCGGTTTCGACCGCAGCGGCAACGAGATGACGGAACCGCCTCAGCTGTCGTTTTCCAAGGACGACGTCCTCTATGTAGACAATACCATGTTCAATGGGGTGCCGGGACAGTGGCGTGCGTGGAAACTGGATGCGGAAGGCCTCAGGCAGCAGTGCGGAGTTATCCCCAGCAAATATAAGATCGAGGAGGAGTTGCTTCTTAGGCGGGGCGCGGGTGATGCAGTGGAAGGTTGGTGGTATTAGATTGTCCTTTTTTTTTCCTTGAATCGGTTCTTAAAAATGTTCTGTATGTTGCCGTTAAATTTTAAACACACGTTAAATTTTTGTTTTTAAATTATTAAAATAAAATAATATATTTAAATTTAAGTTGGCCATTAATGAAAAATAATTATAACAGGGTGTTAAAAATCTTATACAATAATTCAAACAGCTTTATTACAGATTACTGTTTATATTGACCATTTAATTATTCCCTAAAATTGAATATTACAACACTACTCAATGTACAACCACGAACAGTCAACAGAGTATGTAGAGTAGAACAGTCTCAGCCATTATCGTGCATGTATAATATGAGGTGTGAATATGCATTAGTATGGATGAAGTGGATAGTTTAATGCTAGTCCAAGTTTTTCATTGTTTTACGTTACGTCAAGCATCTTTCGAGATGTTTTATAATAAAAATCAAATTTAAAATTCTCAGATAAAACTAATAAGTTTTAAACAAAATTGGTGGTTCTACTGACAAAATTAAATAATCTTAACTAATTACTATATATGCGGGTGTAATTCAATGCTGGTCAGAGCTTTAGTCTGCAGAGTAGTTGTTTTCAAACATATCAGTAAAACAAATATTTATTTCCTTTATATCTGTTAAATTGTAAATGATTCGCAACTTATAGATAATAATCGATTGAATTTTAACGATCGTCAACATTTTGGTGTCATTAAAATTTAACGGCATAATTAATAAATTGCCACTAAAAAATAATACATTTTTTATATTGAGGAATCTAAATCTGTCAAAATATTGCAATAAAATTGTTTACTATTTTATATTTATATTGTTATATACAGGGTGATTCAGTCAAAATGTCGTTCATTTTAAGGGAAGGTAGGGAAAAATGAGTAGAATAAGAATAAGTGATTACAAAAATTTTTTCAAATCATTATTTAAACCCCTTTTGGCACGCTCCTGACCGCTGACCTACATCGAGAGTGAATCTTGACCTACCGTAGTGTTGTGTCACTAACCTATCTTTAATATTGTTTTCAACGTTTTCACCGTTTTGTAATTAAATATGAGTCTTTATTGTTATGTTCGATTAATTATTCAGTTTGTAGTACAGATGGGGCATTACACACCAAATCAACCACTTTTGATTTGGCTGAAACTTTATTGTATTCTACCTATTGAAAACCTCAGAATTTTTTCAAATTTTTTCACCCCTCCAGAAAAGATGAATTTTTGAAAAAAATTGCTTTTTTTTAAATAAACAACTTATTCAAAAAATGAGTTATCCGGACGTTTTTTTTTTCAAAATTTTTGTTTTTAAATGTACTTTTTGAAAAAAAAAATAAGATCAAAATTATCTGGACCTATCATCACTGTTTTTTTTTTTCAATTTTCGAAAAAAAAACGGAAATTTCTCAATTGTAATTTTTTAATTTTTTTTTTTCTTATAAAAAACGATTTTTCAAATTTATCTTATTTCACATACCATTTTAAAAATTTTTGAAAATGTATATAGAATCCCAAAATTGAAAAAATTTATTCTATGCAGCGATTGATGACAATTTCAAAAAGTCGTAGAGAATGGTTTCAAAATGATTTTGAGTTCAAATGCGTTGCATGTCTTTTTTTAAAGCCCACTGTTCGTCCAAAAATGGACCAAATAACTACTTTTTTTAAAATTTTGTTTGTTTTTGAATGTAGTTTCCGAAAAAAATACAAACAAATTATTCAAAACGATCTATTTTTTTCAAAAAAAAATCGAATTTTTTTCGTTTCAATTATTTCTTTCATATATATTTTTTTTCACTTTTGGTATTCTATAATATAGAATGTATATTATACATTTTCAAAAATTTTCAAAATGGTGTGAAATAAGCTAAAATTGAAGAAAAAAATTTTTCAATCAATAAAAAAAAAGTAGAAAACGAAAAAACAACTGAAAAAATTTGGGGGTGGCGCCGGCGAGCTGACTTATTTCCTTTCAAAAATTAGTGGTACCTACCAATGTAAAATGCTACTACTGCTGAAAGAACACTCATTTGTCCATAGCACTTAATAAAGTTTGAAAGTTGACATTCGAACAGTCTGTAGTCCGCCGGCACATTCGCTGTCATTCGTTGCGAAGTAGAGCGGCGATTTAACGGAAGTTAAGGGGTAATTTGCTTATTTTTTAAAAGGTCGGGTGAAATATTTTTTTGAATTTTCTGTTTTTATTGGGCCTTCCGAATACGTGGTTAAAATTAATGACATTATAACTGAATCACCCTGTATATATATATTTTGTAATACACTACAATGTTTAATCGTAACATAATTAAATTTTGAAAGATCTAAATATGTGTAATAGAAATAACGAATTAATAAAAAAGGCGAAAACTAAAAAGCTTTTATTATTTTATTTATTAATAAAGTGATAAAAGAAATATAGAATGTTTTTCTGTTTCGAAAATATAACTGCAAGTGATGTGCATCGATGGTTTAAATAGAGATGTCTTAGGAACAATTTTAATTTTTTTTAAGAAAACGTGGTTGATTATACAAACCTAAAATTTAATAAATTTTTCTCATCTTTGCTTGTCTCTGTCACAAAGATTTTTTTGTGTTGATCGTGCAATACGTAACAAATTGGTTCGTCGACATTTTCCAGTAGAAATCCGACATTAGTTCACATCAGAGGGAGATCACATCATTCACGTCAAAATTCGTATTGAAGTTATTTCATTTGTCAATTTTTGTTATTGGCAATTATTCAAAGATCCAGTGTTTGGTGTATGGTGAAAAATTATGTTGTGTGAAAATTCTGTTACACATAGGCTGAGATGGAGACCTGCAGGTACGATCTAGAGCTCGAAGAATGGCTTCTTAGTAGCATATTTGATAGTACCAACTTTGTTTTCTGCAGTATTCTATCGCAAGTTCAGTTCAGTTCTTTTGCTCACATCTGGCGCTGTCAAAAATGGTAATCGAGTCAAGTAGTATCGCCTAATTTCGATATAAAAAGTTCTAACATTTTCTGGTAGTATTCACATTTCTTCAATAATTGAAAGCTAGATCTACTTTTTGGGTATATTAATAGTGTATTGTAGAGGAGGTTCATTGATTTAGGCATAAGCAACTTGTTTTAACTAACGTTCTGAACTAGCCTAGACTCTTAATCATGAAATAGTTGTATTCGCTATACGTATCAATAGAAATATCAGAAATTTAGGTATATTCTCTATTACCGTCAATTTTAGGCCGTACCACTGCCACAGCACGACGCAGTTTCTTCAGAAGGAAAAAGCATCAAAGGGGAGGCAGTGGCAGTTCCGGATTGGGATCCAGCTCAAGGGATTCCAAAGAGCTCGCCAGTTTCTGCAATCTCTCCCCAGGATGGTACTCCGATTCAGGTGAGATTATTTTTAAATGACATTTACTCATTCTTGTCAATTTGTGGGACAGGTAAGGTGTAAGGTGTGGATTATGATTCCATAGGCGTATCATTTTAGAGGGTTCTGANCGCTCCCCACCCTTCCGAACTTACGAATTCGAACGAAGCTAATTCCCTATGTAGCGTTGTACGGTGAAAGCACGATATATTCATAAACATCAACACTCTATTCTAACTCATTTTACTTAGGCGTATGAACCAATTTTGCAAAACTGTAATATCAGAAAGGCGTATGCCTGTAAAATTTCAGATTTGGTTCGTACGCTCTTCTGATATGACGCCCTCGATATAATACCTTTTTTTTAGTTTTTTTTTTTTATTTATTTGGGTATTGTGTCACTTGCCAAAATACCGAAATAAATAAAAAAGCCAAAACTATGCCACGAATAAATAATTTCTGACATCACTGATGTCGAAATTGTCTATAACTGGTTCCATTGTAACCTCAACTCATGATATGTAAGTCTCATATTCTTTGTTCCTATTTTTGTATGTACATAATTCACTTATTCCATGTCTCTTTAGTTACCTGAGTAGTCGTCTGCTATAGAGGTAGTAGGTAGTTTTACATCCCTTAATTTAAAAGTTGTGTTATTATGTGCCACGTCAGTTTTTATACTCGCCCAAATTAAATCAATGGTGGCAATCGAAGAATTGTAACACTGCGAGCTTCAGCGGCTCTTGGTTTTCAAGCGGTAGCTAATAATTGTACTTTTAGCATCTTGCCATCAAATTCAGTATGTTTTCCATTCAACCATTTGATGTTTTTTTTCTTTTTCTTCATGCAGATGTCTGCAATTTTTCTATTCGTTGATAGTGGTAAGGCTCATTATCCATGACAATCCCTGCTCCAGGTTCAGGGAGCAAAATAGATGCAAACCATTTTTTAAATATCTGCTGTCTGGATCCTCATGGTTAATCTCCTGTTTTTTGTTAAAAGCCTCATTCGCTTCCGAATTGTGTAATTAATAATCTACGTCGTTTCCCAGAGTGTGTAATCACTTAGAAAATAATTCTAAAAAAATGCTTCTCGTCTGCTATTGATATTTAAATATCGCCAAACCTTAAAGACTACACTATTCATATATCCATATTTTGTCAACATAATAAATTTTCCTTTTCGATCTCCAACAGTAACATTTTTACTAAATCCTCTCTTCGCCAAGCTACAATTTTGTTATTTTCTGTTACCATTACTTTTTGGTTTCATTATGCGTAATAAAAATTCATTTCATGAATAGTATGCAGTAAAATTTTTGGCAAATCTTCATCTGCGATGGCAATTTGAGCTCTCTTTAATGTCGAAAGTTCACTTTTAAAATAAAATCTATGAATCTTCCTACATTTTGCATATTTAATGCCATTGTCAATTTTAATATTTTTTCTGATAAACGAGGGTGGTCTGAAAAGTTTCCGACCTCAACATGAAGATGGCAGCACTCATAAATAAAAGCTAGTGAATTTCGTTGTTCATATGTTGACAGTTACTCACCAAAGTTTCAGCCATTTTGGACACGCAGTTGTTATGTAACAGTCGTTTGAGTGAGTTGATGTGAGTTTTTATGAAAATGGACAAAATCTAGTATCGAGCTGTCATTAAATATCTGTTTTTGAAAGGCAATACGCCTACGCAAATCAAAGATGAATTGGATTCTGTGTATGGGGACTCTGCACCATCATTTACCACAGTGAAATTTTGGGCAGCTGAATTAAACGTGGGCGTAAGAGCTTGGGAGGCGATGAACATTCGGGACGTTCAAAAACTGCAACTACCGACGAAAACATTGCCAAAGTTCACCAAATGGTGCTAGACGACCACCGAATTAAAGTGAAAGAGATAGCAGAGGTTATGAACATGTTTGTCACATATGAATTCAACATTTAAACATGAGAAAGCTGTCCACGCGTTGGGTGCCGCGTTTGCTCACGTTAGACCAAAAACGTGTTCGAATGAACGTTTCCAACACTGTTGGTGCATTTAGGCGCAATAAATCCGAGTTTTAGCGCGGATTAATTACTATAGATGAAACTTGGATACACCATTATACGCCCGAAAAAAAAATACAGTCCAAACAGTGGACTGCAAAGGGGGAACCGGCTCCAAAAAAAAACTGTTTTTTTGGCTGGGAAAGTGATGGCGACTGTTTTTTGGGATAGTCATGGAGTTACTTTAATCGATTATCTTCAAAAAGGAAAAACCATTACAGGAGGATACTACGCATCATTACTTGACAAGCTGAAGGCAGAACTTGCGGAAGAACGGACACATTTGCAGAAAAAGAAAATCCTGTTTCACCAAGACAACACACCGTCCACACCTCAGCGGTTGCCATTGCGAAAATCCACGAATTACGGTTTGAACTGCTTGACCATCCCCCTTACTCATCAGATCTAGCCCCAAGCGACTTCTTTTTGTTCTCTCATCTAAATATTGCGCTCGGAGGACAGAGATTTTCGTCAAATGAAGAGGCAATCACCTTCGTAAACAATTATTTTGCAGAGAAAAACGCCGAGTACTATTTGGACGGGTTACAGAGATGGGAGCATCGCTGGGAGAAGTGTGTAGAGTTACAAGGAGACTATGTTGAAAAATAAAAAAAAAATTCTGAAAAAATATCGTGTATCTTTGTTAGGTCAGAAACTTTTCAGACCACCCTCGTACTTTTCATTTTTTTTTACACTTTTTAATGCACATTCTTTGCGAGAACTGCACATTTTCCTGGTATTACTCGCTGATATATTTACGTTTTGTCCTCGAATACCTTTTATTGCACATAGTTTCCATTCTGTTAAATTTGGTTGCTTACTACTATTTTGATTATCAAATCAGCCACTAACGTCTGCATATGATTCCATTTTGAACAGCACTTGTTGGAATAACTAAAGAGTGAACACATCTTTCCCATTTGCACGCTTATGATATGCACTGATATAACTCAGCTGGAAATTATAAACAAAGATAGAACTTGTATGCTTGTAACAATAGAATGTTTTAAGTGTGCATACACATGCTGTACGTATTAACCGTTTTTTTTTTAACGTTGTGAGTTTATTTTTAATATAAAATCCTTGAATCTTCCTTCGGATCACATATTTGACATCATTTTCAATTTAAATTTTTTTTCCTGGCATATGTTGTTTTTTTTGCGTTTTACACTTTCACTACTTTTTAATGCACAACAAACAGTTCTGACGAAAGATTTTGATTAAAATAGTACAAATTGTTTTTCATAAAACAGTCTTGACCTGTTAAATTTGCTCATTTACAACTACTCCGATTATTATCAGTTTTTCATTAACACACCTATACATACAGTTTCGTGTTAACACCACTTATTGGAATAATTAAAATGGGAAAATAATAACACATTTTTCCCACTTGTACGATTATGACATGCACTGACACGCATCAGATGGAATTTTATTTATATCCAGTGTGCTATGATTTTAAACTCTAATGACGCCAGCTAATTTGATGAAATAGTAGTATTATGTGTGTATTTGTCACTGTGCGCTGTGAAATTGTGGTACATTTGAACTACTTAAAATTCGTTATCAAGTTTGATAATTTCAGTTCTCTGTGTCAATCATTCATCACATCTAAATGATCTAAAAGTGACAAAATGTCAAAATAAATACTTTCTTAGTACTAATACAAATATACTTTAGTTGTCCTGGCAGTAGTTTGTTTTCATTCCTATAGTAAATAAAATATGTATACGCTGGTCAATAAATTTGACATTTCAAATCAACAATACAAAAAGGCCACTCTAACGGAGTCGTTTACTAACGATAATGTTCTAACCTCAAAATCGTTTTGTAACGAATTTGTCAGATACAGAATAGAAAATTCCGATGGACTAAACATTCTTGTTTGGATTTATTTCAGTTCCTACTATTTCGAAATTGAAATACAGTTAATATTTGTTCTTACTTATTACATTCAGGCTCTCTGCACGAAGACCTATCTCAAGCCTCCTACCAGCGCGTCGAGAGACTCCAATACCCCGAATTCCGTCCAGTCCTGGTCCTGGGACCCCTCGCCGAATGCGTCGCCGACAAACTGGTGTCAGAATTCCCTGAGAAGTTCAGACGGGCAGCCACCGACACCCGACGCTGCCCCCAGTCTCAGCTAGACCGAGAACTTGCCGAAGGCCTCATCCTCGAGTACCGCAGGCGGGGCTCGTGCTACGAATGCATAACGGTAGCCGCCGTAAGGGCCGTCACCCAGTCCCACCTTCACTGCATGCTAGACGGCTCTATAACCATGGTGGAGCGCCTGCACCGTCACCACATCTACCCCGTCGTCCTACTTATCAAGTTCAAGAGCACCAAGCAGATCCGAGAAGTGAAAGATGCCAGGAACAGCCTCGATAAACTGTCGGGGAAGGCCGCGAAGGAGATGTTCGAACACGGACATAAGTTAGAAGCCGAATACCGACACTTGGTGACCGCAGTAGTGTCGGCAGGAGCGAACGTCGCTCACGTTTCCACTCAAGTTAAGGCGGCGGTGGACGCGGAGCATAGGAAGAGTCAGTGGGTTCCCGCCGCTTCGCTGCATTGAGATGCTTTCGCTGGGAGTCGCTTTAGTCAGGTGATTTGAACTACTTTTAGATCCTCCTTTTAAATATGTCAAAGAGGTGTTTATCGGCGTACGACAAAGGAACATCCAGAATTGCAGTTATCTTGTGCTGCATTTTTTTTTTTTGTACCAGACTTATCTCATTTATTTATTTGATGGAAATATTAGGGGTTCGATGTAGGTCCCTGTGGAACTCTGTTTTAATCTCGATTAGGTTGGCGGTTATTCAAGGTTAGTCCCTCCGGTCAGTCGTAGAAGCAATAACTTACATGGTAATATTCGAAATAAATCAAAATTAAGCAATTGTGGGTATTTCATAGGTCTTTCAAATATTTAGAATATAATTAGATAATCAGTGAAACTTACGAATGAAAATACTAGATGGCGACTCTCTTTTTTAAATAACGAAACCACGTCTGCGCTTTTTGTAGATACGTGTGATGTTTTATCATTTGCCGACAAAATAGTCGGCCGCCAACTGTCTGACGTGTGTACTGTTGCTTTTTAATTAAGCTCGTCGATTATTAATTAAATGCTTTGTAACAATTTTAACACGGTATAAGGACATAGCGTAATGCAACATTCCTCGTCCGCAACGAACATCGAAATTATCGGGGATGACAGTTTTGTCGGTGAAAATAAACTTGACGCAATTGAAGAAGCGCAAAAGGCCAACTATGTTGTTTATACGAAACGAATGCAACATGTTTCGTTTTTTGACCGAATCGAATGTCAGTTCAGAGAATAGAGCATATTGTATTATATTGTTTATGTGCACGAGTGACATGTCTGTCACCAGTATACGGTAAATAGCGGCCCACAATAAGTGATTCTGTTGCTGTGGATTTTGACGTAGTGAAATTGATCAGCGAGGTGCAATAGCGCTGTATTTTATAATACCATGACAAAAATATCAGTCGTACGCCCCTGGTACATACAAAATTTTCTTCTTAAAAAGTCGGCCGCCGACTATGTGGTATGCGTGGTTCATGTTTTAATGCGAAAAAAAAGAGTGCAAATTTTGGGAAAAGTTCAATTAATTTCAACTTTTTCATGAATCCCGCGATTTGATTAATTGATTAGCAAGGTGCAAAAGCATAATAATTTATACAATACCTCTTGCGGAACATATTATGACAAAAATATCGGTCATACGCCCCTGGTCCACACAAAATTTTCTTTTTAAAAAGTCGGCCGCCTACTATCTGTTGTATGCATGGTTCATGTTAGAATGAAATTAGCAGTTTTTAATCTGAAAAAAAATGTCGATTGCAAATTTTGGGAAAAGTTCAGTTAATTTCAACGTTATCACGAATCCGGTGATTTGTAGCAGAAACATGCATAAATTGAGTAGCAAGGTACAAAAGCACAATAATTTATACAGTACCTATTGCAGACCATAATCATGACAAAAATATCAACTCTTGAACACAAAGAAAATTTTAAAAATAGTTGACTGCCTACTGTCTGGCGTATGCGCATTCACTAAGGCGAGTTCACGTAAGAACGAAATTAATAGTTTTTATGAGAAAAAAAGATGTTGAGCACGAATTTTGGAAAAAGTTCAAATAGTTTCAAATTTTTTATGAATTCCGCCATTTGTGACAGAAACCTACAAAAATTGACCAGCAAGGTGCAATAGCGCCATATTCTACACGATACCTCTTGCGAAGCGTGCCATGACAAAAAATATACACTTCTGGACCCAAAAAATTTTTTCAAAAATAGTCGGCGACCGACTGTCGTGTGCGCCTTCATTGAGGCCAGTTCATGTTAGAACGAAATTAGCAGAATAAAATAAAACATAAAAATTGATTTCCTCGTATTACGAAAATATATTAAGAAGAGAAAGATTTTAGAAATCCGATGCTAGAAATTAACATTTTCAATCGATTTATATATTTGTACATTTGACGTAATTTCAGACGACAACAAAAATTTCAATAAAAAACCCTAGAATTTTTCTGAAATTCATCGTTCTTGTACGAATGCTATTTTTACAATTTCGCAAAGCTATTGCATTTATTTTAACATGTACTGGACTTTATTAATAATACAAATAAGCTTGAGGTTTTATGGCATAAGCGCCATCTAGTGTTTTCATTTCTAAATATGACTGGTTGGTTTTCTTGCTATATTAAACAAAAGTAATATTTTAATAGCCAATTTTTATATGAAATATTTGTACGTCCATCTTACCAAGGCAAAGCTCTCCTTTTTGCCTTACCAGGAGTCAGTCTATTGTCATTACAGAGAAAGTTGAAGTACGAGTCCAACTACAGATCCTTGAGGTACTTTTGTCTTCATTTCCTTGAAATAAACGATAAAGAAGTATGTAATGAAAAAGTCAGTAGTGATTTTAATTTATTTAAAACAACACTTTTCCAGCTTTACTTTTAACGTCGAAATTTAAAAGTTATCCCACTTCTGATCCTTGCACAACTATAATTTTTTTTTCTCTGGACGATAGATTTCGTACTTTAATTTTTCTCTCGAAGTTGTGCCGTTACTTCGTGAGGGACGAAGCTTTACGAACGATTCCCGCCGACCTCTACTCAAAGTGATACGCAGCAAAACGGTCCTGTGCCTTAACGTAATATTGCGCTGCCAATTTTTTTACCGAAAATGATATTTTTAATAAATGTGTTTTGTAGCTTTTTTTTAACTATATACAAGTAAGGTGGTTGTATATTCTCTTCTTCTGTGATTACTTTTATTATCCTACTCATGTAATGTTTCTTATAAAGAAGTAAATATATGTATTTATAATTTATAACTTTATTGATGCGCACCCAGTAGAATAGGTACACGGCATGTCCAGGATAAGGAATTTTTTTTGAGGGTACAGGGTGGCTCAAGTTATAAAGAAGTAAGGCCGTCGGAATGACGTAAATAGATCTGATATATTTTTTAATGTTTTTAGAAAATATCAGATATGAAAAACAAAAAAATACTTTTTGTTGACAACTTCTTTTGTACTTTTCATGAAAATGTCAGTTTTGTTGCCGAACACGTTGTTTTTTTTTGGCATCATATAATTTTTCATTTCGGCTGTCATCGTTTGTCATCATTTAATTGTTCACTAGAAAGGTAGGCAAGTCCGCTGACGCAGACTTGACCTTTCCCTCGGACCCCGCTGTGCATTCTCTCTGGGTTGGTAAATAATATATAAAATTAATTTTAAAAAAAATAAAATTGCGACCCGCCCGCGAATCGAACCCCGGACATTCGATTTTCGGCGAGGACTCATTTTAAAGAGGAAATTTCTCTTAGAAGACGCTAAGGAATCGCCTTCAGAATACGACAAGGACGCTTAGCGGCTCGCGAGGAAAGCTTTTGATAATACCAGCAGAATAAATTGGCAGAAGAGCATTTTAGAGAATACAAAAGTTTCAGGATTTTTCCCTGGCAATCCGATGATGACCTTGACCTTGAAAATCATTTCAAGGTCAAATGTAATTTTTCAGATGGGACCCTATACTTTTGACCCCAGAAATGAAAAGAGCGAAAAATTTTGAAATTGCAAAACCCGAAGGCAAGGTTTAGTGAACCCGGCCAATGAAGGCAAGGCTTACTGAACCCGGCCAATTAAGGCCAGGTTTAGTGAACCCGGCCAATGAAGGCAAGGCTTACTGAACCCGGCCAATTAAGGCCAGGTTTAGTGAACCCGGCCAATGAAGGCAAGGTGTAGTGAACCCAGCCAATGAAGGCACATGAAGGAACATTTTTCTCTAAAATGCTCTCCCGAAGAGTTATTCCGCCGTTGCGGTACTTTTGCTATACCCTGTATATGGATTTGAAAAAAAATCGTAGGATTCAAGTGTCTATTGTAAATGTTTGAATTGTTTTTATAATTTGGAAATTGCATTAACTTAAATTTCTTGCAAATTCTTCTGTCTGAAGAGGGCTCTATAGAAAATACGCAACCAGCTAGACATTTTTATAGATTTTATTACACTGTCTAAATATGAATGCACAAATAACAGACTTTTCTCCATTCTAATGCAGATTTTCTATAAACTGGACTTAGTTTGAAATTCAAATTACTTTTTGTTGTAAAGAAATTTGTAATTTGCCGCTATTGAACAAGCAGCAGCGTAAAATACAAATTTCTTTACACCAAAAAGTAATTTGAATTTCAAACTAATTCTGTTTTATAGAAAATTTGTGTTAAAATTATGGGGAAAGTCTGTTATTTGTGCATTAATTCATTTTTAGACAAACTGTGTAATAAAATCTATAAAACTGTATTGTTGGTTGCCTATTTGCTATAGAGCCCTCTTAATGACTAAAAAAACAGTTGAATCAATATTTAAGCTTCCTTTGGTCCTAAAAAGTTTAATTCTATCAATTTTTGTAGTTTTTTTGTTTTGTAATTAAAATGATAAGAAAAATAAATGGCGAAATGTATCAGAAACATAATTGAACAGCTTCACATGGCACAGCAATAAACGCAATATTAACTCAGGATTATATTTTTTTGAACACATGATATAAGATATTTATAAAATAAAGGTGACGATAGTAAATACAGTATCAGACGACAAAACTGACATTTCCATAAATATCTTAAAAACTAAAACAAAATAAATCTGATAGTTTTTGCAATTTTTTTTGGGTCACTGTATATTTTATTGTTTTCAAAATTCCCATCTTGGGCATGTGTATTCTTTCCATTTCCTAAATTTTCCCCACACATAGTAAATTTTATTTTTAATTATGTCCAGGTTAAGACAACATTGCTATGTTGATATTCACAGAATATTTTTGAATAGGGCCATTTTCCGTAGATTTTACTTGTTATGCAAAAGAAGCTGTTTGAGAACCGTTAACCCATTTTGATCAAATGAAAATCCTTTAAGAAAACAAGAATTTATGTAGCGGTAAAGATATTCAATAGAAAAGTCACTGAAAATGTTAAAAAGTTCCAAGAACACACTCGGTGGACATTAAAAGCAAAGGTAAGTAATAATTATATGGATTTATTTGCATTTACTAAAAAAGTTGAAAATATTGTTTATTCTGATTTATTAATCATTATTTGTTCACTATATTTACGTTTTTTTCCCACAGCACATGGTAAAAAGCGAATTAAGTACAAAAATGTTTTTTATTAATGCAATTTGCAACTACCTGATTCTAAAACAAATTACAGGCGCTATAATAGAAATTATTAAGTGGACCTTCAACGATTATAACTCATTTTTGAAATGAGGCTACTCGAGAAAATTATCCTCAAATATCTCAAAATGCAGAAACAAACTCGATCTATCATGGCTGAATTTCATTTTAGAAAAAATTGGTATTTCTGGGGTGGGCCGTGCACACCCGTGTCCCCCCTAGCTGCGCCCGTGTCTATACAATGCTAATTTTTTAAAATGTGGCGTAGGCCAAGTTTTTTATTTGAAGTGATAGATTAGTACTTCCAAATGCAATGAAGAAAAATTTGCAATATTTCCGGTGTTGCCAGATTTCTTCAATAGCTACTAAAACAATATTTTTTTTAAATGGCAATACCGTATTTTTTTAACATAATTTGACAAACCTTCAAATTCTAAATAAAATATGTTATGTCACATTTCCTTATTGGAGTAGCCGTTTTCAAACAATCCATGAAAATAATCTGCATTCGGCAGGAACTAAAAGAAGCTAAAACAGAAATAGTAGGCCTTGGATATTAAACAAAAATTGTGTTGTTTGAAAGGAGCTATCGAGGAATGTGTATAAAAGTAACGTTTTAATTCAATTGCAAAGATGATTTTCAGCCTTTTGCAGATCATACCAGTTGTTTTCAGTTTTACTAAGTTAGTTCTTAAAAACTCCAGATTTGGAAAAAGCTTATCGGGATGTCTTGCGTCGAATTCAGCGCAGACATTGCGTATACTTAAGCCATTAACATGAAGAAAAGTTAATTCAACTTTTTCTTTTGTATTAAATAACAGATTCATCTTAGCAACTGAATTAGAACGTTATTTTTATGCACATTTAAATACAACAGCTTTCAAATAACACAATGGCAATACAATAATGATAGCTCCTTTCAAAAAACACAATTTTTGATTAATATCGAAGGCCTACTATTGCTGTTTTAGCTTCTTTTAGTTCCCGACAACTGCAGATTGTTTTTGCTGATTGTTCGAAAACGGCTACTCCAATAAGGAAATGTGACATAACATTTTTTATTTAGAATATATCTAATTATGTTAAAAAATACGGTGTTGCTATTTAAAAAAATATCGTTTTTGTGGCTACTGCAGAAATCTGGCAACACCGGAAAGAATTATTTGTAAATTTTTCTTTATCAAGTTATTTCCTACAACTTTGCATTTAGAAATACTAGTCTATCACTTCAAATAAAAAAGTTGGCCTATGTCAGGTTTTAAAAAAATAACGCCGTCGTCTCCTTCAAACATGTCCGTTGGTATGTGACAAATATTTTACTTTATCAGATGTTAAAACACGTGCTGAAATATGTCCTATTTTATTATTTTTCCTATTTCCAAATTGTTTTTCCTAGCCTTTAGAAATTAAGCTCCGTCTTTAAATCAGGTGGTAAATCTCATCCCATAAACATCTTTAGTGTCGTTCCAAAAGTAGTTGAGTTTGATTTATATATTTTTAAATTAATCATTGCATTAAGCAATTTCATATACAAAAAAAGTTGTAGCAATATCAGGTATGCCTCCAAGCTCTCACTTGGGGCCAATGTTTCTTAACATTCTTATAAATGATATCAAGGAGTGATTGTTCCATTGTAAATTTTTGCAGGTAACTTGTAATTATTCTCAATTATAACTGATATTCTTCTGATTTTGGAAGAATTTAACATGATATTAGTAATCTACCGAGTTGATGTGACAGAAGCAGTATGATTCTTACTATCTCCAAATGTCATTCGATATCTTTTTTTTGGCATAAGATACAGGTACGATGTTAATAATATGCCATTAGATTCCGTTCTATCCAATGGAAATTAGAGGTTAAGTCCTCATTTTGCTAACATCCAAAGCATTAAAAATGCTCTCCAAAATTGAATTTTATGTCCGTTTGGGGACTACTCCTTATCAATCTGATGGACACAACTTTAATAAACATTTTGAAATGTTTTTAGTTGTAGCAGCCCATACGAATGTTTACCAAAGACACTGAACATGCATGAAACGATTCAAATTCTGCAGCTTTGCGCTCTAGTCATAACGTCAGAAGGTTAATCCTTGGGTCCTTTAAATCAAGGAGTCTCAATAAACTCAGGGTCTAAAGAGATAGATACAGGGTGTTGAGGTTCAAACAAAATTTGAATAAATTTATAATATTTCTAAAACTATTGATGTCACAAAAAAAATGTATGGGAATTTTTTATTCCAAACACAGTTTTAGATACAGTCTATCTGTTAAAATTAAAAAAAAAAAAAATAGAAACTTAATTATTTGAAAAGTACATCACCCATTTTTTTTTTAAATAAATTTCAATTCAGGTAGTAAGACCCTGACCTTTTGGGGGTCGGTATATATGCCACTGATTTCATGTGAGTGAAGTGGCAAATAAAACAAAATTATCTTATTACCAAGTAACGGTTCTGTTTTTGTTGTTGCTTCATATAATATGAGAACATCTAACATTTAGATAACTTTCAGCGATAGCGGCTTAAGTATGTTAAATGCTTAAGTATGTTAATCGTAAATATGTGATAGTAAAGTGAAAAATGTGTGTCACTCTTATTGCACAAATTTAACACACTTATCAGCATGTTTTCAACAGAAAAAAAAGTCTTAAGCCAAATTTCTTTTCGGGTTAAAGTGCATTATGAAATCTATATGCTAGGTGGTAAATAAGTAGTGTTTTTACTTCATAATAATGTGTTTACTCATGATAAATTGAATATTCCTATCTATAAAACAATTCAAATATTGAGATAAAGTGTAATTGTTTTTTCAATTAGTCTGAGTCTGTATTTTTTCGAAGTGTTAAGTCTTCACAATTAACCACTGCATAAGGTGAGTACATTTTTTTATGCTATGTATGTAAGGGGGTAAATGTGTCTTTATTAGAGAAAATAAGTACTTAAGAAGGTGCAAAAAAGCCTTTTTGGTTGAATGAACAATGAACAGTTCAGTGATGCCAGATGCATTTCATAAAAAATACATATAATAGCCAGATTTAAAAAAATCTAGATTTCCCTAGGTTTGTATGAACAGAAAAATATGTAAAAAATATTTTTAAATCTTTAAAGTTTCTAGTGTTTAAATTGAAAAAATATATATATATATTTCCTTGTTTTTTACTGTATATTAAAATAAATATACATCAACTATTAAGACGAATTTATTTTTCCCAAATATTTCACTGAAAAATAAACTCGATAGTTGAAAACAATATAATAAACTCTAGGTAACTAAAAAAGAAGGTTAAGGGAAAATAAAATAAATAAATGTACTTAAAATAAACAAAGTTTTCGTTATATGAATTATCTGATGACATTAACTTCAAGTACTTGTTGTTAACATAAACGTTTTGATGCTGTTATTATTTGAAAACCGAATTCAACTCGCTCTGTTTGCACATAACTGGACTGGGGCAAACAAATACATAACTTTGCCAGTTTTGTAACATTGCAAGTTTATCTTGAAAATTAAACTTTTTTTTTTAAGTTTTCTAGTGATTGCCAAAATTTTTCAACAGACATAATAATGGGTTCATTTTTGTATGCCTTTTTCTCAACTTCAAAATACACAGGAAGTTTTTTCAATTCTAGACAAACATCTAAATTTATTTGTAATAATTTCAAAAGACTGCAAATGTACAGGTTTTTCAAATTTTAATGCGGAAACAAAACCTGCAATGCATCGAAGAAAACATCAGTAATTAAAATTTTCCTTATAGAAATTTTGAATTCATTGGTTAAGTACATAGTGCACACACGTATGGCATCTGAAAAATACTGATAATTTCTAGCACTTAACAGCTTATGTACCTTCAACGAATATTTACCAAAATTCCTACTTATAATTAAAATTAATATATTTTTTCTAAATATTTATACATATTAGGGTGCTTCGTTTCAAACATACCTACATTTCTTTTTTTCGCTCCATTGACGAAATATTGTTCTAAACATTGGAAAAAAAATTCTCGCCAAATTTCAGCTCTTAATTTTAATTTTCAGTACTCGCTATTTGATTTTAAAATTTTCCTATTCATTTAACACGTAAACCTACAGTTTTTTAAAATTATTTATATCCGCTGCATTTCACGTTATTTTATTGTCCATAGGCGATAAAAATAATTATGAGGAAATTTTTGTTCTTTGAAAGTGCCCATACTAGGATCTATGTGACTTGAACGGTTTCACTGCTAAAGAATTTAATTTTTTAATACGTATTTAAAATTCGTCCTATTTCCCTAATTTTTTAAAAAATACCCAGATCTAGGGAAAAATTCGTAGATCTGGCATCTTTCCTTGTTACTTAACCTAAATGTAAAAATCGCCGGTGCTGTGAAATGTGAAAGGAAATCTACTTCGGTGCGGTCGTAGTGAGTTACAGTTTCATCTAATTCACTCCACATTTTGTAAGTAGAGTCGAGGAAACATTCCTATAATTTAATTTAATGATGGTGTTAAGTGGTACACTTATACACTATTGACGCGTGTTATTCCAATTTTGCCGCAAACGTTCTGACCTATTGTGTTCCATTTTTCTCAATTAACTTTTACGTAACCGCGTTATACAATAACAGATTGAGAACTTGGTATCTAGATTTTTTAAAAGAAGAACTGGAAAGTTTACAGTTAATTTAAAAAATGCCTTACAGGGAATATAGTGTTGTTTCTTGCGATGATCGTGCCGGAAATACGCAGGTAAGGTAGACTTTAAAAACAATTTTAAAATGTATTTTAGACGAATTGGGACTGTGGTGCTTTTTCTAAATAGGTATAGGTATCAATTTGTTTTTATAAAAAAATATACATAAAAAGCGAGGGAAAAAGCAGTCAAAGCACGCTTTCTGAATGTTCTTCTTCTTCTGTGCTCTGGTAGTGATAAGTTATTTTTCGCGAACATAATTATAACGGTTGCTTTTAACAATTTTTTTGCGCATGTCCGCAATTTACTCGGCGCTCTTTGTTTCTATTTGTAAATTTATTAGCAATATATTTAATTATTACTGCATTATTATCAATTACATTTAAAAGAAAGTAATAAGTATTTTTTGCATAAAATGATGCAAAACAGTAAGAGCAGTGTAGCTTTTTTTCGACCTTTGCTGGTTCTCGACATCTCGGCCACTAGAAGATATTAAATTTAGTAATAGTAAAACTCTAACTCTACAAGAAAGGTGAGCCTTATTTTTGGCCAATGACCACCATTACATCGATAAATTATTGTATCTGCTTAAAAATTTTAAATGTTCATTTATATCACTTGTTTACATACGGATGTACAAGACAAAAAACATGTTTTATGTTTTGTAGAGTATGCCAAGTGATATTACGATTAAATGATCTTTAAACGTGGATTAAACATTAAAGTCGTTGCATGCATTTATAATAATATAATATCAATTAATTTAAATATATAGTTTGCCTTAATGGTTGTAATGTAAATGTTTTCTAACGCGTGAAGATTTTCTTTAGTAAACAATTACAATTAAACTGGTTTGTAAAGAATTCCCTTAGCTGGATGCGAGTAGTTCAAAGATACATCACTCCTCTTCTTCTTCTTCTTATAAATACCTGATGAAATTTTTAAAATAGAGTTTTTTCAGTCGAGTACTTTTTTATTTACTATACACGCATTGCAAAAATTATTTCTTTTAGTTATTGAATTAATATAGTCTTAGTTTACACTTATGAAGTAAACCTTATGTTTTTTGCGTAGCGGTAGTATAATAATATTTATAATTATTTGTACATTCCAAAAAATTTTGCATTAAGAAACTTGCTAGGTATTTTAAAATTCAAGTAAATTTAAAAATGGGAATAAGATTAAAAATTATTTTCCATATTTTTTTTTGTTTTCTGATTACAGTATCTTGATTATAATTAATATTAAGTATTAAATCGGTCATATTAAAATAGAGAGTTAAATAGGTAGGTACCTACTGTTAAAAATAGTGTGTAGACAATAGTTGCGCATATTTTTATTACATATATTATTAATAAATAAAGATATTTTTATATTATTATTTGAATGTCTTACTATAATTACAACAGCCTTGAAAATAAATCCCATACTTAAATCTTTGTTTTCCGTTCATATAATAGGTATTAATACAATAATCTTATTGTAAATATTGTTCCAATATGCTTGTTGACATTTTATGTACTTTTTTATTACGTAAATATACTTGGATATCAATAATTTATTAAGTAGGTATAATGATTTAACAATTTGTATATCTCCAAACGCATTTATATGGATAATAATTATTAAAAACATCATTTCTTCATATGGTACTTTAAATAAAGTACGAGAAAAATTTAAAAAATATTCAAATCTCATTTCCAAGACAAAAAAATTTATATCAAAATTTCTTTAAAAATTAAAATAGATATTTATGTTTTGCTTTTATTGATGTTTTTATTTTATAAAATGGTACTATGAGAATTCCATTCAATATTCTTATGTATGCATATCTTCCTTTTTTCAAAAATACATGTTTTCAGATATTAAATAGAAATTACTATTGCAATTTATGTGTAATAGATTCCACGTTACTGATAAACTAAGTGAACTAAATGTATGTAATATATATTAATGTTTAATATATGAAAGATTGTATATAAATTAATACACTAATAAATTTACAATATGGACATGAAATTGTGTTAGCTGATTAACGAATTCCAAGAAATTTTATTTTAAAAAATAATTTGAACTGTTGAAATAGTTTTCGTAAAAATGTTTGTTAGTTGTTAGTCAATCCGTTTTTATTGCATATATGACCAGTATTTATTAATAGAATAGTTATATAATTGTTTTGGTTTAATATCAAAATATGTATTTTAATCTTGAGCTATCGTTACTTGCAATACACATTTTTATTAGTGGCATTAGTTTTGTGCGCTTCTGTACACATATAAAAAATATAACGCTTATTCTAACAGGGTAAATTGGAATTGTAGAAATTTTGTGTTTCTTCTCTACATATTAGAAAAAAATTATGAAGGAAAAATCATTTCCAATATCTTTGCAGATGAGTGAAGAGCCAGGATGTCGGTACAGGAACAAGCTACTGTACTACCTAAGCTATATCACGGTAGAACCCATAATGGTGTTGTACATGATGGCCTTCATGACAACCACTGTGATCGAACAGTCTTTTTTTGTCTACAAAGCATGCACAGTTAATCACGGATATAACAACACGATATGTGAAAATATTAATGAGAAGCAATATGAGAATATCACGAAAGAAGTGCAGGTAAGTGAAAAGATATCTCAACTTGAGAAAATGATTAATGGTTTATATTTAGTCCAAATTTGGTACCTTTTGATTATTATTTCATCGATGCTAATTTTCCAAGTGTATTTTTATATATTTTGCAAAATGATGTAAATGATGTAATTTTTTAGTCGGTTAAATTAATAATGCATTTTGTATTAGTAATTATTTTCAGAAATTTTTATATGTCACAATTATAAAATTATTAACTAAAACTCGGTTAATGAATGCAAAAAGAATAATAAAATATATTTTTATTTTTAGAAGTTTGTACACATTTTGTTTCTGCTACAGAATAACGGAACTTAATATGACAGTCACCTACTTAAATATTTCTTAGTTGCAATCGTGCTAGTTGCAAAACGAATGATAATGAATATAATTTTTTTGTTAATAAACGATTAGATTTAAAGCAAAAAAGTGAGAGAGGTAAAAGTTTTAAAATAAATCGGCTCTCCGATGTGTATTTTTGAATATTAAATTTTTGTCAAACTAAAAAGTTGTAGCAAAAAAATAAATTAGAGGATGCTTATTTCAACCCCTTTCAAAGGACATAAATTTTCGGATAACTGTTGAGAAGTAGTAGTAGAAAATTTGTATAAAATTTGACTATTATACCTTTTTTGGTTGTCAGACTATAGCCACTATTCCATATTTGTTTGGAAACTTTGAGTCGCTGTATCTCCTAATTGCTGAACATTTTACTAAGGTCATTTTTATACAAAACATGTTTTTTAGCTGAAGACTCACCGATACCATTTGCGCTATTTCTTTTGAAAACACTGTATATGAAGAAAATTTGGTACTGTACTTTCAATACCAACTAGGATTTTCTTCTTCATTATTTTGCTGTCTCAGCTTCTTTTGTAACTGAATTTTTTTATCCTGCACGTTTCATTTTTGCCTTCTGTGTATGCAATTTTCAAACTTCGGTTTGCTTCTTTTTTCGATAACAATTTTGCAGTTTTTTTGTCACTGCGACCGCATGTATCTTTTCTTTGGAACTATATTTTATCTTGTTTTATGTAAATGTGAATATATATTTTTACAATTTTCTGTTAAAAAAAAAAAAAAAATATTTTGGTTAGGTCACAGTATCGACATTCCACCTCTGGAACAACGTGGCGGGCCACGGAGTCCCGATAATTCTGGCCCTCTTCATAGGGGCTTGGTCAGACAGACGCGGTAGAAAATTACCTTTGCTCCTAGGACTTCTAGGAAAACTGTACTATTCCGCCATGATAGTGCTTAACACCACTCAACCCCACTGGCCTTTAGAGTATGTGATATACACCGCCACCCTTCCCATGGCATTTACCGGTGCAGACGTCACTATTTTTGCAACAGCTTTCACATATCTGGTGGATATATCGTCGCAGAAGTATAGGACGATGAGGGTGACCATATTAGAAGTGTGTTATTTAGCGACGATGCCCACTGGAATCGCTTTAGGTCAGTAGTAGCTTTTTTTATAAAAGCTCATGTGATTGTATTAGAATTACTCGAAAAATATTGTCATTTCGATATATCTTAAATCCCTTTCAGGCTCATATCTGTTCAACAAAGTGGTGGACAAATCCTACACCATAATGTTCACAATAAACGTTTCTCTGATGGCAATAGCGGTCATATACACACTCGCAAGACTCAACTGGCAGAGCAACCCCAACCAAAAACCGTTCTCCGAAGCCGACAACAAATTCCTAGACTTCTTCGACTACAACCACGTGGTGAACACCGTCGTCACCGTCTGCAAGAAACGACCGAGGAGCAAGAGGACTTACCTGATAATGATGTTCGTTATGATGGCACTGTACACCTTCCAAAGGGACGAGAGGGACATGATGTACATTTACTGTCAGCTCGTGTTTAACTGGACGCTGGCACAGTTCAGCAAATTCAGGACATTCCAATCTGCCCTGCAGGATGTCATACTGTTACTGGCTATACCCCTGATGAGCAGTGTTCTCGGTTGGAGGGATACCATAATTGTTATGATTGGGGCCATGGCGCACACCGCAGCGAGGATCTTCTATTCCACCGCGGAGGTTAGCTGGGTGTTTTATACAGGTAAGAAATATTTAGTAGTCGACTTTTTGTGATTTTTATACCAAAAAGAAACATCTTTGAAACAGTACTTTTGCCTTGCCGCGACAGAATTTCATAGTCTGATAAGAAAAATTTCATGGATTTTATCGCGACAACCAAATCCCTGCAAACAAATTGCATTGCGAGATACGCTTAAGAGACAAAAAATGTTAGTGTTGAAAAATGGCCTGCTGCGAAACAAAGTGTGCCTTGACTTGAAATCTGTAAAATCAAGTATTCATTGGAACCACACTATTTCTGTATGAGACGTCACAGAACACTTTAAGAGAACTGTCTTCAAATAAAAAGGAAATTGTTTGTGCAAAATTTCAATGTTTTAGGCTGATTTGATTTTTTGCTTGATTACAAATTTTTCTACTAGTAAAGGCCTTTTCTTTATGAGATAGGATAAAATGTTATTGAGAAAAAAAATTTAGAATGAAAATATGTGTATGTGATTTTACTATAGCGGACTATAGCGGACTGTATTAAAGTTAAATGTTGTAAATATATATGGTTACTCACCAGTACACCAAAATGGTGCCCCTTCACTTCTGTCACACTAGTAAGGATAAGAAGGAAGGAAAAGACAGGCAATAACACTAATACGACGAACTGGTGACGCGGCAATTCTATGAATAAATTATTTCCACGAAAAAGGAAATAAACATTAACTATTACTATAAACTATTACTGTATAAACTATAGAATTTTTACAACACCTTTTCAAAATATCAACAAAACCATTCCATTGAATGCGGTTCTATATCAGAGTTCTTTTTTTGTCACACATACCAAAAAAGAAAATAAAAAAAGGAACAGTTTGGTTTCACAGATTGTACATAGCACGCCATCTGTGACAGAGGATAGGAATGCAATTAAAGAAAACATTCAAATTAATTAATGTGGCCTAAACATTTACTTTTAAAAAATGCACAAAAAACTATACATGGGTAACAAAATTTTACACCACACCTGAACAAATTACGTTTATTAAGAGAAAAAAGCGGTGAATAGCTATTATTTGGTTACGGGCGGACTAAACAAAGCCCAAACTGCATAGTAAATATACGCTACTCCCACTGTCTTTCACTGCTATGCGACGGTAACCATGGCCACCGCTGTAAACACTACAGATTTAGTGGCGAGCTACGAGGAGCCAACGTATTTAAATGAGTTTTGCAAGTCGAGTTAAATTGACTGCATGTTACAAAGAACCCCGCATACACATTACGATTTCTGAGATTTCTATCAAATATATGCTAATCATTACTAAACAAGCTACATTATTGTTAAAAAAATTATATTTGAAGAGTGAATCCATTTTCCACTATTTTTACCCTTTTGTGGTGTTGCACAAAGAAACAGCATCAGAAAACATTTTTCAGATTGTATAAAAATTAATTTTATTGTCAAATACATTAATCTAGTCTGTAATATCTTCAAACTATTTTTAAAATTCCAGGGTATATTTAGAAATGTATCAAAAATGTTGAAATCGACCTCAAAAACTTATAAAAACATTGAAAATTTTAAAATATCTGTGAAATATTGAATTATTTTGATATAGGTATAACTTATACATACAGGCCAACCAATAGAGATTTTTTGGCACACTGAAATGTTACAGTAAATTTCATGTATTACCTTTTAAAAAATACTTAGCAAATGAAAACCCAAGTGATTTCCCCAACAAAGTCATGAACATTTTTTTTTTTTAATAATAAAAACTGCAAAATAATGAAAATTTTTTGAAAAATAATGATGGAATCGTCTTACTCTCAATAGGACTTTTGTAGAGAATAAAAAAAATCTATGAAATGGTTTTTTGTGCGACCCAATCGGTTCGTTTTTTATAGAGAAAATCCGGAAAAACCTCTAAAATAGACCTTTTTTCAAAAATTCATAACTCCATCAAATTTGAAGCTGGAAGAACAATCTTACGGAAAATGACAGATAATAATACGTAGTTTAATCGTGCGCAAGATGGTTTCTGTCCGATGCATAGTCTTTGCACAAATGCATTATAAATTTTCTGCACAGCGTGGCGATTTATCAAAAATAGTCCGATTTAAATTCTAAAAACGGCATCTGAAAGTAGACGACAAAATCGCCAATTTGTATATCACGGATTTTCGCATGAGTGATGGGAAATATGCTAAAAATGCCCTTGAAAGTCGCCCAAAACGATCGAAAGTACGTTTGAGCCAGAGTCGGGTAGTGATATTGGGGGGGAGGACTCAGGCTCGAACATACTTTCGATGCCATTTTCAGAATTTAAATCAGACCATTTTTTATAAATCGCCACGCTGTGGCAATGAGACTCTAATTTGTTTATAATGCAATTGTGCAACAACTATGCATCGGACAGAAACCATCTTGCGCACGATTAAACTACATATTATTATCTGTCATTTTCCACAAGATTGTTTTTCCAGCCTCAAATTTGATGGAGTTATAAATTTTTGAAAAAAAGGTTTATTTTAGGTTTTTCCGGATTTTCTCTGTAAAAAATGAACCGATCGGGACTCACAAAAAAACATTTTATAAGTTTTTTTATTCTCTATAAAAGCCCTATTGAGAGTAAGACAATTCCATCAATAGTTTTCGAGATATTATAAAAAGAAACAAAAAAAATGTAATTTTTTCCAGTTTTTATTGTTTAAAAAAAAAATTGATAACGACTTTGCTGGGGAAATCACTTGAGTTTTCATTTACTAAGTATTTTTCAAAAGGAAATACATGAAATTTGCTGTAATATTTAAGTGTAAAAACAGCCTCTTTTTTCGCTCTATTGGTTGGCCTAATATATTCAGGAAATACTTAAATTTCTAATTATATCAAAATTCCTTTAAAACCTTGAAAACCCCAAAATATTCGTATTTCTTTTGATTTGGGTGAAGTGGAAAAGTGCCCCCTGGAACTTTGCTCTTTTGTCTCATCCCCTTCATTCACGCTCTACAAAAAGTCTCAATTCATTTGATAAACCTTTTATTATTCAGTCAAATTTTTTGAGTCTTGTGTAAATCTTCCTTATGTTGAGGTTGATATATTTCTATAGCCCCATTGCAAGAGCGATGGCACTGATTTTCAAACACATCCAGAACAGTATTGACACGGATAACATTTTCATTTGTTTTTGACGTACGATGCTCAAATTGTATCTCGTCTTCAACACTTTCTTTTCTGTCCACTTATAAATTTGTGCCTATGTATCTTGTTTGTAAACTGCCATAACCATTTCAACGGTATGCAGACCAGATTTACCGAACTCGACAAAAAATTTCATTGAGTAACGTTGTTGCAGAAATTTCTGCATTTTTCCCCGTGACTTAGCAAACAGTTTTCTATAAAATAATAAAATGGTTTTAGGTAGTAGTTTCATATATTTTTTAAATTCCAGGTGGAGTTTTTGCAGCTATTGGGCCAATAGTAGCGCCAGTAATAAGGTCTATCGTTTCGAAAATCGTATCTAATTCCGAGAAGGGCAAAGCATTCTCCGTACTCGCCGTAGCGGATAACGCAGTCCCGTTAGTGTCCGGAGTTGCTTATAGTACCGTTTATAACGCTACTATTCATTACCACCCTTCTGCGATATTCTATTTGACAATGGCGACGCAGATCGGAGTCTTCCTATTAGTTGTGTAAGTACTTTTTTTTAACGAGAAAATTGAAAAAAGTCTGATCAAATCGTCTTTTATGTAGGTACATCCATGTGAAGACTGATCATGACGAATTTGAAAGAGAAGCGGAAGTGGCGGCAGCCCCAAGTGATTCGTTAGAAAGTAACGGTGCGAAGGATGAAGGAAGGATAGCTTGAGTGAAGTATTTTTAGGTGAAAGTCAGCGACTTACAATTACTTGTATCAAGTCGGAAGAAATGGTAGAATCTCGTGAAACGAGTCAAAAAAAATATCAGGAAAGTAGTACTATAATTCTAAAAACGTTTTACAAATTCCAGCAATAAATTTAAACCAAAGTGATAATTTTGAGGCATATTTTATATATTTTTCTTCAATTTCATATTTAAATAATTGAATTTTTTTTGACCGTCATTTATTTAACTAGCATTATTTTAACCAATTTTGACGTTATTTAATTTTTAATTTAAAATGTACAAATCTCCGCGTGTCCACTAGATGGCGATAGCTTGTCGATGCCATTTGTAGGTAAAAAGAGGTATAGGAGTCATCGAGGGAGAAACCGCAGAAGTAATCTAGTGTGCAAGCTTGAGTAGTCCTGTGTAACAACTGAGGAATATTTGAGTAATATTTAGGTACTAAAACAATTATTTACTTCACATGTATAGTCTTTCCGAAGTTAGTTGAACGTGTATAAAAACGCCTAGCAATAAAATTTATCTAGTTTCATCGGCTAAAAAAGTTTTCTGCTAAAGATACAAAATTTTAATAATTCGTACAATATAATGTGTAGACAATTTCTATTATATGTTCATTTGGCCAACACCATTTTTTAATTATTTTTGTCCTCAAACAATTTTATTATATCGATGTTATATTTTAGTTGACATTTACATTTTCATTACTGCTTGGCATTGCTACACTGCATTGCTAGGCAATTTGTCAACAACTGAAATTTATGGCCGGTCGCCCAGTGCGGCCGTGTTTGTGCGCCGTTTGCCCGCGCGCGCGTTATTGAACTAGGCGTATACATTTCTACCAACTCCACGTTTAGTTCGACCAGACCTGTATATGGGTATGGCTGAATAAATGTGGGAACAAGTTTTTTTCAAATATTTCAATGCCGAGTTGCTGCATCAGTGAGCGAACCTGGTACATACTGCCTAGCTCTTTGGTCTTCAATTGAGATCGGAAAGACTATACAATGCGCGTTTGTCGTCTCCTCTTCTCTCCCGCGTCACTTGTTATTATTTGATTAATTAATCATGAAAGTGAGTATTGTAGTGTATAATTTTGACTAGCGGTTTCCTGCTCTGGAGCAACTTTTGGAGAGTTTCTCGTATTTCCAGAGGAGACTATAAAAAATTGTCAGAAGCTTATTTTTTCACAGATATTTACCAAAAACGACATTTCCATATTCATTTTCTTTTTTTGTGTAATTTTGAATAACTTATTTATTTATTTGCAAGGATATACAGGGTTATCCAAAAGTCCCGGTACAGCAGAAAAACAACTTTCGAAGAATGCATTTTAGGAAAAAATATTTCAGACAAACGTGTAAGGATTTTCTCCTGGCTATCTGATGTTGACCTTGGATTTGACCTTGATTTCGACCTTCAAGGTCATTTGAAGGTCAAGTTAAGTTTTTTAATTAAGAACCCCTATTTTTTATTGCGGATTTGGAAAGAGCAGGAAATTTTACATCCTTGTACAACAGAAAAACTTTTGAAGAATGCATTTTGGAAAAAAATGTTCCAGACAAAAGTGTAAGGAATTTTCCCTGGCTACCTGATAGTGAAAAAATCTTAAAATGACCTTCAAATACTGGTTCAAGGCCAAGAGCTTGATTATGGTCATATTCATACATTTGTTTTTCCATTCTTCCTAACTTAACTAAAAAAATAATCATTAGTGTAAATAAATTAACCTGACTTTAACATGATCTTGAGGGTCATTGTCAAAGTCGTAGTCAAGGTCGAAGGTTAAATTTTAACTCTCTCCAAATCCGTAATAAAAAATAGGGGTTACCAATGAAAAAACAACTATGACCTTGAAGGTCATTGTCAAAGTCACGGTCAAGACCATGTTTGAACGTAAAATTTCCTGCCTTTCCAGATCCGCAATAAAAATAAGGGATTCCCATTTAAAAAACTTGGAAGGTCAAAATCAAAGTCATTACACTTTTGTCTGAAATATTTTTCCCTAAATGCATTCTTCAAAAGTTTTTCTGCCGTACCGGGACTTTTGGATAACCTTGTATAATATACAGGGTATAACTCTTAATGGGAATGATATTTATAAAATATTATTCATTAGAAAAAATTTTCAAAATATGAAAAACACTATACAAAGCGAAATGTGGTTTTTTTCTTATCAATTTTTCTCGAAAATCGAGTCCGGGACATCTCAACTATTTGTTTCCTACCTCCTCAGGAAATATGAAAAAATCTTGTAACTGTACAGAGTGGCCCAATTAAAACAGTCACTTCCAACACTTTTTTATATTCATTTTCAGGCAGAAAAAAAATATTTCAGCATGTTTGTAAAGAGAATTGAAATACCTTTAAAATGATGTGCCACTTAACCCCCCCGTGCCATTTGAGATTTTTGAAGGGGTTGCCACCCCGTTTAAGGGGAAGACGCTGCATCCACGAATTTATGATCAAAAGATGTCCCCCTTGAAAGCAAAATCGACCTGTTTCGGGGTTTTCCGGAAAAACCTGTTGCAATGAAAATATTTCAGGTGGACTGTTTTAATTGGGCCACCCTGTATAATGGTTTATTATTCCCAGAAATGTACTTATTTTAGTGACAGCTTGAATATTTTTACAAAAAGATGTTTCATTTCATATAATTTCATCCAATATTAAGGCAACCATTAAATGGTTTAATCTGCAATTTATTTCATTTATTAATTACTAAAGGTTTATATTATATTTTTTATGTTATTTTTTATCTGTTATTAGATTAGTGTTTTTTTTAGTTTAACTTTTTTTGAGTCTCGACTAAATCTTTTCTTTGTATTATTGATTATACAGGGTAATATTTAGGTCTTAGACTTTAGATGCTTGGTTGTTTCTTAAGCCATTTTAAGTTAAAAACTTGAATAATTGTTACATAGACTTAGAAAACACTTTTTATACTTAGTGTGATTTTGTAATAGGTGTTTGTTTTTATCAATAAAAATTTAAAAAATTGTAAGTGATTTAATATATTATATACTACAGAAAAATTTAAATTTTTATTAAAAACTCGTTTTTTATCAGGATAACACAAAATAATTCGGTACATCAATGCTAAATTTTCAATTTCAATGAAATATGTATCAGGATCGCATAAAGATAAGGAGGTATTTTGAGTGCCAGGAGCACGTTATGAAGTAATTATATTAAAGCTAAATTTTCAATTTTGGAGCTCATCTGAAGTAATTATATTAAACCTAAAAATTTAGTTCCATTTTTTAAATAAAAAGATAAACGAAAAATTCTCACGATTTTTGATTGATTTTGATGAAAGGTGGATCAGTCGAAGATTTTTAAAATCAATTTTATTACGTTATCCAGTTCTTCTCTCTGTTTTAGTTTTGCACTAAAGAAAGGAATACCAATAACGGTTAATTTTTGAAATAAAATACAGAATAAAATATAAAAAATGTATTAAAATAAGGAAAACCTGTTTTCACAAATTTTCTTTAATAAGATAATATTTAATACATTTTGCTAATATAAATAATATAATCGTTGCCTTATGACTAGATTAAGTTTGCCCACGCTTCTCCATTTCGTGATCTTTTTGTTTTTTTCTTCAATCCGTTGCATTATTGACTTCGTGTCAACTTTACTTTGTTTTGGAAACTCTAGTGCATTCTGTAAATAGAAATGAGAATTATTACATTAATTAATATACAGGGTATTTTTAATTGTGATACGTAATGAAACAAATTTCTAATAAACTCTATGTTGGACACGTAATACAAAAAATATACAGGGTGTTTCATGAACAATAACATACGTGAGTGGAATTTTCCCAGGAATATGACATTAAAAGAACCGACACAACTGATCAAATTCCAAAAATCTTTTGAATGTCTACAATCAAGTTGGGTGTTATTTTTTTCCATCACTATTCAGCTTGTATCCCAAATCTAAATCAGAATGGACCACCCTATATAACAATATGTAAAGGGTAACTCAAAAACTGATGATTGGCTGACATTACAAGAAATCGGAGGAGCAAATAGGAAACCGTAAGCGGAGATCTTTACAACATAATAATACGAAGGAATTTGATTTATAATTTCATCTTAGTAAGTTGACTACCCTAACGGCTGTCATGGAGGTCATTTTTGCCCTATTAATTAATTATTATTAGAATAATTAATCTTGGGCTACTGAACTTACTCATGAACAAAAATTCACTGAATTTGAAACGTTCAAGTCAAAAATCTCCGGCGAGAGCGGCGCTCACGCGCATGCGCGGGCCCGGCGCTCCTTCCGCGTGTAGGCCGTTCATTAACGTTAACTTTTACAGCTGCTAGCGCGTTTATTACATTACAACTTTCTCAAAATAAAAGTTTAACCCTTTCATTAATTGTCTCTAAAATCCCGGTCCGATATGTCCAATTAACGTTATAAAAAAAGCTATCTTGGGAACAGTGACCTCTTTTTTTAAATTACCGTAAAAATAAATTCTATTTAATACGAAAAGAGTGAATTCCCGAGCGGCTTTTGTCTGATCCTGAGACAATTTGTTTATAACACTGTTTTGCACATCCCACTTTATTAGTTGTAAAGAGCACTTTAATTTCAACTTTTACCAACTTTGCGTCACTTCTTTCGAGTTAGTTTTTTGATATTATCATTCTTCCCCATCATAAAGTGCGATAAAATGTCTACTAATAATTTTTCCACGTTCAAACTCTAATTCAACTGGAGTAGATTATACTCACCCACTTCTTTTTCGAAGGTTTGTTACATCAAACATTACAAGACAACTGTTCGTACGTGAGACACATCCCTAAATTATCGTCGGGCGACACCTCCCTGGCACTGGGTCCAAAGTGTACACCGACAACAAACGGAATGGCACTGCTCTCTATCCTGCAGGGCATTTCACCAGAAGGGCACAACGTGGGTCCACAGTGCGTTATATCACAGAATCCTGGAATCGGTCCCTCGTCTCCAGGCTGAAATAATAGTTTTTTAGGAATTGCTATTTTATTAAATTTATGGTTTCAAAAAACTACAAAAATGAGAGGTTGTTACAGATAATTGAGGGTGTAATTCAACTGTTGTATGAGTTTATACAGAGCCTACATAAATTATTACAAGTCACATGACCAGTAATTTTGTTTGGAACAGTCATTTTATTTCCTTCGCGTTGGCAATTAAAGGGTCTAGGATAAGATAAGGTCAGCGGCCCCAGAAAGATATTTTGAAAATGACTTGCGTGGTAACATCGGCGAGATATGAATCTACCATTGACACAAATTCAGCCTCGCATCTCGCTGCGTTCTGGTGATAATTGATCAAATAGACGCTAGAGCGGGTATTTTTCAAAATAATTTTTTAAAAAAAAAAATAAAAATATTTTTTTTAAGATTTTATTCATAGTTCACGCAGAGGTACAATAACAGAAAAAATATATAATGTAGCTTAGTATTACTACCAAAAAGTGCATAAATATAAAATGGGTGCAACACTATAAAAAAAAATTTAAACTTCTTATGACCATATTAGGTACTAATGACATCCCATTTGTGGCACCATTATCATCTGTTTGTTACTCAAAAATATGTTACATAGTAGTTAAAAATATAAAGAAGACTTTGATTTTGACATAAACAAATGAAAATTGTTTGTGGAACTACACCGTTTTTAGAAAACAAGACGAAACTTGTTGCTTTCCAGCTAGTCGCGTGTATGCATTGTGTTTTGTTTACCTATAATTTTTATGCCCGCACCACTATTATAGTAGCTCGACTTCAATTGTTGTGTGCGGACTGTTTCGGATTATTAAAAATTTTTTTTATAGTTGAACCGTTTTATTTGCACTCGCTTCAGGGTTTCGGTTTGATTTACCTATTTTAATTTGCTTTATTTTATTTGTTTTATTTTGTTTTGGTTATTTTTTATTTTATTTTATTTTGTTTTGTTTGTTTTTATCTTATTTTGTTTTATTTTATTTTGTTTGTTTTTATTTTATTTTGTTACTTAATTTTTTTCAGAAAACAATTTTTTGATCGTTATTGTTGCAATGAAACGGCCTATGCTTCTTTCTTCGTCGGCGAGACCCCAGTTCACACGTTATAAGCAACACAAATTCTGTGTTTTATTTTAACAAAACCCAAAATCAACCACTACACAGTAGCCGTCCAGAGGGATTTCGCTGACGAAAAAAGAAGCAGAGGGCGTTCCACTGCAACAACTATCAAAAAAATGTCTTCTAAAAAAAATAAAGTGACACAAAATAAAATAAAAACAGACAAAATAAAATAAAACAAAATAAGATAAAAACAAACAAAACAAAATAAAATAAACAAAACAAAATAAATAAAAATAAAATAAAATTGGTAAATCAAACCGAAACCCTGAGGCGAGTTCAAATAAAACAGTTTAACTATAAAAAAATGTTTAATATGTAATCTGAAATAATCCGCACACGATAACTGGTGGCATAAAAATGATAAGTAAACAAAACACGATGCACACACGGGACCAAGTTTCGTGTTGTTCTATAAAAATGTTGTAGTTCCACAAGCAATTTTCATTTGTTTGTCAAACTTAGTCTTCCTTATATTTTAAACTACTATGTAATATGTTTTTGAGTAACAAACAGATGATAATGGTGTCACAAATGGAAAGTCATTAGTACCTAAGATGGTCATAAGAAGTTTTAATTTTTTGTGATAATGTTGCACCCATTTTATATTTATGCACTTTTTGGTAGTAATACTAGACATAGTAAGCTACATTATATATTTTTTCTGTGATTGTACCTCTGCGTGAACTAAGAATAAAATCTTGAAAAAAAAAAAAAATTTTTTTTTAATAGTAAATAAGACAGAAAAATTCTATAAAAAATATATAATGAAGACTAATGTTTTGTCTAACGAACAGTTTTTGTTTCATTAGGGCAGCTACAATAGTTTTCGAAAAAAACAATTTTAAAAAATTCCCGCTCTAGCGTCTATTTGTGTATTTGATCAATTATCACCAGAACGCAGCGAGATGCTAGGCTGAATTTGTGTCAATGGTAGATTTATATCGCCGATGTTACCACACAAGTCATTTTCAAAATACTTTTCTGGGGCTGCTGACCTTATCTTATCGTGCTAGACCCTTTTGGTAGAATTAAAAATTACATATTAAAACAATAAGATCAAGATTACAATAAAACACAACATATTATTTCACTGGCTGTGATTGGCGTAATTTTCACGAGATTCTATTCAACCTATTAGGGATCGCATTATTTTGAGTGTAGGCGTAAAGATCATTACCAATAGTAATGATTTTGAGATTTTTTGTTGACGCTATCAACCGTCCAATGTTGGGTTACCTAAGTTCAGCGATCATGTGGCTCGTAAATAAGGAGCGTTCAAATAAAAACGTGGTCAAGTTGGTTCTGAAAATTTGGACGTAGGGCGTAGCGTATAGCAAATGAACTTAAACGTCATCTGTCAAAGCGCTATATCGCCGCTATCAATTTGAATATTTTCGTTTTAAAAAGCGTTTAAAATGGTGTTTTCTCAAGAACAAAAAGTGTTTATCATAGAGTCCTACTTTAGAAATGGACGCAAGATTGATGGAATATGGAAGTATTCTATTGAGGAATGTTTCATAGAATTTCAAAATCAATTTCCCGGCGTTGTTGAGTACAAAATTTTTCAAAGTGCAGTTCAGCGTTGTGTTAATGTTTTTCGTGAAACGGGCAGTGTAACAAGAAAAGAAGGAAGCGGCCGACCTAAAAAGCGGACTGAAGAATTAAAAGAAAATGTCCAACAAATAATGGAAAATGCGCCAAGAACTTCTGTACGTGTTTTATCACAAATGGTGGGAGTATCAGTCGGTACCTGCCACACAGTGTTAAAAAAAGATTTGCGTTTGTTCTCCTATCGTTTAACTTGTCAGCAAGAACTTCATGAAGTTGATTTTCCGCGACGGGCTGTATTTTGTGAATGGTTTTTAAACAACTACGGTGAACTTCATAATATCACCTTTTTTTCTGATGAAGCCTGGTTTCATTTAAGTGGTTACGTAAACTCACAGAATATGAGAATGTGGTCTTCTGAAAAACCAGATAACTTTTTTGTCGAGGGCCCTCTACACGCTCAAAAAATTGGAGTTTGGTGTGCTCTCAATCGAAGGAGGATTTATGGACCTATTTTTTTTAATGGTACTCTTACTGCGCAAAGGTATAGAGAAGAAATTATCGCTCCTTTTGTTAACCAGCTGGAAGAAAACGAAATTACAAACTTTTACTTTCAACAAGATGGCGCAAGGGCACATACGGCAGGCGAGACGATGAATATGTTGAGGGAAGTTTTCCAAAATCGACTAATAAGTCTCAATGCTGAACATGAATTTCCACCGAGGTCATGTGATATTACGCCGTGTGATTTCTTTTTGTGGCCTTACCTTAAAAACACTATTTTTGAACTGCCTATTCCTGATTTAAACCATCTGCAGGCTCGACTTATAGACAAGATTCGTGAAATTAACAATACCCCGAGCATCTTAGAAAATGTCTTTAATTCTTTGAGGAACAGGTGTGAAAAGTGCTTGGAACAAGGAGGGGGACACTTTCAGCAGCTGCTTTAATTTATTGTTATAACAAGGAGGGGGACACTTTCCGCAGCTCCTTTAATTGTTTGTTATTGTTATCACGATTATTCTTTAAAATAAAGTTATATAGTCATTAACGTTATTGAAACTGACAGCTGCTATACAGCTCGTTGAGAAATGAGGTTAAGTTGGTCGCTATAAGCTACTCCCTACGTCCAATGTGTCAGAGCCAACTTCGACCACGTTTTTATTTGAACGCTCGTTATTTATGAGAGTATTATAATTCAAGGTATCATGCATTTTTTGTGCATCGATACATCCATGGCACACTTAATTATGTCAAAAAAAAACAGTTCAATTGCAGAAAACTTTAATTGGATATTGAAAGAAAATATTCAAAAAAAAAAAAGAATTTTTAGAAAAATAATTATCAGTAATAAAAAATATAAAAAAAGGATAACGAGAAATGTAAAACGTTCAACATCGCAATGTGCTTCAATCTTTTTTAAAAATGTATGTTTTTGTATTTTAGGGTTTGTACTGTTATTGTTAATATTTTTTATTGCCTTTTGTACCTGTATTTATTTTATACGTTTTTATAATGAATTTTGTAACACTTCATCATTTTTCGTATACTGCCGCTTATTCTTTAATTCTTTTTTATGCTCATCTGATATTTTAAGAGCAAATAAATAAAAATAGAGCCTGAGACATTCCAACTAAATCTTCTCAACTTCTTGAGCAATACAAGAATCACCAGAAGTATGTACACTATGTCATCAGAAAATGCCAGAAAATTTATTTTAGTATCTAAGTACCTAATCTGTGTTACTTACCAGTATTAAATCGTCCGAATCGCAAGGCAGGACAATCTTGTCATTGCATATCTCCATATTCCTGCTCTCACTGGGGTCCCCGTCCCCAGATCCTGGGTCCACTATCATGTCATCACCAGCACCGGCGCCTCCAGTTCCTTCCTCTGTGTTAGGACTAATCCTGAAAGCGTTCTCGTGGCACGGCTCGTAGGCTATACTGCACATGCCTTCCTCTTGTCTCATACAGATGTTATAGTCTTGATCAGCTAGGTGTCTGCCGTTGTCGGCGAAGTTCATCGTTTGTATGATGCCTGTAGTACCTAATATATTTTTCAAATATCAGAATTTTAAGTAATCGTTAATGAGGTGTTAGCAGTGGGCAAGTTTTTAAATTAATCGATGGAAAAAGCGTTTTTACCAAAATTAGTTTTATAAAAAAACACACATAAACTAGTAACTGGAACAGAATTTTTTAAAAATCAAATCAAAATTTATATAAGTTCTTAACGGCACTGCTCGTACAGCACACATTAACTTTCCTTGTAGAACAATAACCAGTGACAAAATACTACATTTATTTTTTATGCAAACATGCCACTGCTTATCGAGTCCATCAAGCTCGGAAAATCAACAGAAATTATGAAGAGTAATTATGATATGGTTGCTGTTATAGATAAAGCTTGATGTCAACCATTTGTCAAGATCTGCTTTTTTGAATGTGAGTGAGATTTAACCTAAAAAGTGTATGTCATATATCAAATGTCAATACACGATGTCTACTCATACCCACACTCAAAACATGTCGGTAAATAGACTGTTGATGAATAATTTTAGCTGTTTAAAGGAATTGTGGGTGTAATTCAATAGTGTTTTGGCTAAAATAAACTATAATAGTACTAGTTGCAAAAACTGAGGAGAAAGACATTTTGTTATAGCTAGAAGACAAAAATATGTTAACAATAACATTTTTTTGGAAATAGTTGCACAAAAGTATTATGTTATGTTTTAAAAAATTATTTTAGACAAAAAAAAGTAAAATTTGAGGTACATGTGTAAACGAAATCAATACCTATCAGAAGTTATTTATTTGCGGCATAATTTTAGTTTTTTTAGTCAAAATACAAAGATGAAAAATTGAAAAACAAATGGAATTTTTTTTAATCATGTCGGGAGTTTCGTCAATCTCATGTGATGTAATTTTTGATTCAGTACAGTTTTTTGATGAAACATTTCCCGATGAATTTAATTAAATATTTGCCCAATAAAGAAATATTGACCCAAAAGAACCCTATTTTTTACCCGTTTCGTTGACCTCAAGAATTCAATTCAAAAGTGGTCTAAATGATAGCTTATAGTGATAGTTTAACATAGGCGATATTTCAACTTGAGCATACATTCAATTTTTAGGATATGGCAAGTTAAACTCGTTATTTGATTCATCCATGCCAAGGCAAATCCGACATTCTCAGTGACCTGTTGCGTTACCTTAAAATGCTCAACAAATACAAGCAGTGATATTAAGATTCGCTTCAAAAATTAATTTATTTGTGAATTTAAAAAAAAATAAAAAACTAAAAAATATAAAATTAAAAATAAACTGGAAAAAAAAACAAGAAAAAAATTAAAAAATAATAAAAATAACAAAACCAGAAAAAAACACAAACCTCTTCCCGGATTAGTATCATGACGTGGTGAAGAGGCTTACAATTATTGAAATACATTTTAGTAATATAACCAAACCTAATCTTACATCCAAATTATCCTAGTTCAAAGTCCTTCGAATATAAGAATTAGAGTATCTATCGAGATTTGGAAGTTTCCAGTATAAAAATACTGATTAATTGAATATTTGCAGCAAAAATCCCAATTGTTTTTGTAAAATCGGCAATACCTCATTAAAACAAAGTGTTTGGTAAAATCTAATGGTAGATTCATAAAGAACGAACGATTTTACATAGGAAATGGTACACTTTGCATATTTGAGAATCTTGAACAAAATAAACGAGTGTGCCGAGAATGTTGGATTCATCTTGACGTGAACAAGCCAACAGGTTTGACTTGTCATATCTCCAAAACTAAAACTATGCCCAACTTAAAATTTTGCCTACTCTAAAGTATCACCACCAGCTATTATTTAGACCACTTTTGAATCGAATGCCCGAGGTCGACGAAACGGGCGAAATTTTGGATCACTCTTTGTGCAGATCTATATAGATATCATTGGATTTCATATACAGGGTGTAACTTTAAGTAGGGGTCAGTTTTTTAGGGATAATAGTATGTGCATGTTCCCCTGAATACGAATCTGATTTTTTTTTTTTAATCAAATAAATAGTTGAGTTATAGTTAGTTTTTTAAAATGCACATTAATTCTTGTGTACGCCGCTGCTGTAATACTCATGTATTTATAACAAGATTGTTGGCAATCTACAGTGCATGTGGAGGGAGTTAGTGCGGATCAACGGTGACAAAGCGGAGGGGGTCAGTTGTTGCTCTGCATTTGAATACTGTGAATTTGAATGTTTTTCATCGTTATTAAATTATAATTAAAAAAAAAAGTTATTACGACGGAATTTGAGCAAATAAACTATTGATACGTGTTTCTAAAGGTCAAAGGAAGCCTCCGTTTATATGACACCCACTCAAAGTTACACCCTGTATAAAAATTAATATTTCTCCATACCTTCATGGTACTGCAAGCATCCTGCTGGAGCCCGCTGGGAGAATAGTACTTGCGTCACCCTAACTTCCCAAAGACGGGTCACCGCCCTCCTGCTTAATTTCATGCTAATTTTGATGGACTCGTTAATATTTTCCACGTCGAAATACACTGAAAGAATCACTTACTGTTTATGTATTTTATAGCTCCAGTATTTTTACTTTATTTTATTTATTACTACTCCATGAGGTACACATGCTCCAACTATAATTGAATTATGTCTAGTAAACAAACAGTAGTTAATTTTTTCTAAAATAAAAATTAAAAATGATATGTGATACAAAAAACGCATACCTGACATACTGAAATTGTTAAATAATACAAAGAAACATTTTGTACTATTGCTACATGTAAACATATAACATGTAAAAACAGCGGCGATAGAAAGATCTTACTATTTCTACATTTTACCTAGGATTGCTTTTTCAAGTAGCATCATTACTAATTAATTAATGGCCAATTAATATACTCATATTTATTTTGCAAGGAGGCCACTTGAAAAAGCAATCCTAAGGAAAATGTAGAAATAATAAGATCTTTCTTTCGTGGCTGTTTTTATATGTTATGTGCTGTCATGTAGCAAGAGTACAAGATGTTTCTTTGAAAGATTACATTATTTACAATTTTAGTATGTCAGGTATGTGTTTTTGTATTAATAATACTTATAGGTCCCAAACACGATCAAACAATTTGCACAACGGAGGGCGTTGTTCAAACATTTTGATCATGTATGTCCTGATTGGAGCTGCTGCACAACAGTTTGAGTAAATTCGAGCTTGTTTGAAATTATTTGTGCAATGCGTCACTTACTCAAACAGGTTTGAACCTGTATGTGGATGTTTGAAGGTGTTATACAAGGTAATAAACAAATAGTGTCATACAACTAGTTGTTCGAGCGGTTTTAAAAAATAAATAAAATGGCTTTATCTACAGTTGGAAATAAAGAATTTTGGCGAGAATTTATACAGATGTATCGCGATTTACCCGAACTATGGAAAGTTAAAAGTGAACTTTATAAAAATCGAAATTTAAAAAGTGCAGGCTTCTGTAGACATTTTTAAGAACAAAATTAACGATACCAGTCAAGCGCGAACAAACTGCTTAAAAATGTAAAAAATTGCCTATTTTCAATAAATTTGCACAAACTGGTATTGTGTATATAATCACCAAATTGTACAACATTATGCTGTACAACAAAAGTTTGCGCAAATTGTTTGATCGTGTATGGGGCCTATTAGATCATCATCGATCATCAATCATTTTTAATATTTATTTTAGATAATTGTTTACTAGATATTGCTGGTATAATACAATGCTAGTTGTAGAGTAGTTGTTTCCCACAACATCATAAGTTAAGAACCTTGTCTATAAGGATTGAGGTTAGATATCTTTTGCATTTGATAGGATTTTTAGAAACATTTTTCAATTACATACATAAAATCTAAAATGTTACATAAACATAAAAATATTTATATGGTCAACAAATAGACTAGTGACTTGTAATATGACAAACGATCCTAGCTGTTGCACTAGGTGTTGCGAGTATAACTCTCAGAGTAGTTGTTTCTCGCAACACTGACAATTCAAACATTGTGTTACGCCCTCTGTGGGTGGCAGTCGTGCAACAAAGTACCTGCAGTTAGTAGGTCGCTTTCTACTGTAGCCATTTGAATGGCACAGTTGGGAGTCCGCACGACAGATGGAGCCATTTGCGCTCCCGCGTACAATGTATTTCCTTGTCGTAACGATACGACGAAGAACAACTGAGTCGTTTGTCGGTTGTGCCTGGTGGGTTAAACTGACAAACGATCCTAACTGTTGCACTAGGTGTTGCGAGTATAATTCAATGTCGGTAGGGGCATGTAGCTCTCAGAGTAGTTGTTTCTCGCAACACTGACAATTCAAACTTACCATGTTGCCCGCTATTCAAGCCACAAATTGTCAATTCTCTACCATTGCTTCCAGAGGACATCAAAAAAACATCTTCTTCACAGACTCCTGTTCTACGGTTTGGTTGACCCTGTAAAAAAAAAATAAACGACAGTAACGAACACCTTCAGAAAAAATGTATTGCAATGCTAGAATCGAATTCACAATTATTAGATTTATTTTATCGCCGTTTGATTCTTACCAAATTGAAATGGATGAAATCCAACCTCAACTGAGCAATTTCGGGGTCAATTTTCTTAACCGTAAGGGCACAGGATGACATGCCGCTGGTCAAATCTGGAAAATCTGGATTGACGAAGTAGGTGATGTTGTTGAAGGCTTCTTGGTCACACGTCGCTGTAACTGAAAATGTAAAATATGTTACTAATAAATGCACGTATTTACAGATAGAGTACATTTTTCTATATAAAAAATATTAACGAAAAAAAAAGTGTTAGAGGATTGTACTTACATACACAACATACTCCAAATCCAAGAGCACAAAAACCATATGATTTTCCTCCTTGAATCTTGCATTCATATGTATTCATACATATTCCTAAAACAAATTGGTGAGTATATAAATAACTATAATAGGTTGTCGCAGAGTTTTACCTTTTCTTCGTCCATCATTTGCATTGCATTCTTCCTCTACAGGTACAGGGAAAAAGTTTAACACTATAAATAAGAAAAATTATTAGGTTGGAGGTAAGGTATATTGATAAATTTAAGCGAATGACTATCAGCGTCGACACCATTCATTATGAAATTTTATTGACAGAGGATTATTCATCCAACAACTTTAATGGCTGGGTAGAGACTGTACTACTTGTAATAATTTAATCCTGACAACTAATTTACAAGTAAACCATTCCTGATGGGATAATAAATAAATGAGTTTACTGCAAAATCGGTCTTTTCTATTGAGACCTGTGAACCCAACCCAATGAGAGTTTTGGTTATTCATATATGTGGTATGCGAGGAATGGTGATGAAAAATGGAAATCGAAGAAAATATTTATCTTCAGATAGTACAGAGATAATAAAAAATGCATCTATACAGTGTATAATTTTCAGTGGGGGCCAGATTTTTATGGGTTCCTAATAGTACATGTTTCTAAAAATATTAATCTGCAATTTCTTCTAATAGGCCAGTCATTATACCTTTTTTCGGGAAAAAAATACTATTAGAAGTTTTTTTGCGGAATATTTTTCAGAAACGTGTTATAAACAAAATATCAAAAAATCAACTCGAGACTAGTTGGGAAACTTTGTTAAAACAATGATCAAAGTTATGGAAATACTGTTTGTTATTCATAGAGAAAAAAGGTTTATACAAAAAAGGTAGGTATTAAATAAATCTATAAATTAAGACAAGTCCGATTAAATTCCGATAATTTGTTTATGCGCAAGCGCTCAAAAATGGTCGAAAATGGCCGTTTTTTTCAATTGCTAATAAATTAATGCACTTTTCATCGCAGACACTTGTAATTCAGGATTTTTGAGGCTTTTTGCACCCTTAATAAGTGATAAAAATTTCAACCCGAAAGCTTCATTAGTTTGGTGTTGGCGGAATTTGTTATCTAAGAAAATGCTATTTTCAATTGATTTTTCCCAAGCTCAAAGGCGTTGTAGAGTTTTGATCATTAGTTGTTTTTGTACCTAAATAGTTATATTGACATAATTATTTACTGAGAATTTAATTGTTCAAATTTAATTTGTTTAAAAATGACTAAAAAAATGTTAATATTTATTAATTTGTTAAGATAGGTAATTATTATAAAATGAAATAGTAACGTCTATAGTTTAGTTAGTACTATTTTTCTTCGAATTTAAAAAAAAAACGTTGCTCTAAGTTGATTAGAAGCTGAGACATTTTTTTTTATTTGATCGCAGTGTCCTTAACTATTAAGAGCCGAAATTTGGAGAGAGTATACATTAAGAGCTACATTTTCATGTCCTACATTAACATTAAGGTGAATTCAACTATTTAATTGTAAAAAAGAAGATAGCGGCGATGCGTTCTATTACTCGGTCTAGCAAACGAGTGGGAAGAGCGAGGCTAAATAAAAAAGTAAATCTCGGGTTGAAATAATGTTAATACAATAGCTTGAATGCTCATGAATTTTCGCGCTACCATAAATTAAAAAAAGAATCATCTCGATAGGTTCATTATTAACGGAGATATGGCTAATTTTTCCAGCTCCATCGATTTGAAGCCGCTCGATCATTTTCCTGCGCGCAACCAGGCGCGTAGCGCGCAAGCTCCGCCTCGCTCTCCCCACGCAATAGAACGCATCGCCGCTATCTTCTTTTTCGAAATTAAATAGTTGAATTCACCTTAATGTTAATGTAGGACATGAAAATATAGCTCTTAATGTATACTCTCTCCAAATTTCGGCTCTTAATATTAATAATTAAGGTCACTGCGATTAAATAAATAAAAAAAATTATCTCAGCTTCTAATCAACTTACAACAACGATTTTTTTNCAGAATTTAATCGGATTCATTTTATAAGCTTATTTAATACCTACGTTTTTTGTATAAACTTTTTTTCGCTATGAATAAATAGTTTTTTTACGCGAGTCAAAAAACAACTTTTCCATAATTTTGACCATTGTTTAAACAAAGTTTCCCAATTAGCCTCGAGTTGATTTTTTGATATTTTGTTTATAACACTTTTTCGAACAATATTCCGCAGAGAAACTTCTAATAGTATTTTTTCCCGAAACAGGCTGTTTCATGTCTATAATGACTGGACTATAAATCAACTAAATAGGTACAAATCCTTTCTACGCCACCCCTAGGCAGTTTTTGAACTTGGTTCCATGTGTATGCTTATCAGTGTTACCAGTTGTTACTTATAGTTTTAAGTCAACTGTATGAAACTAATGGAAAATAAGTTTGTACAAACAGTTTACTTTTATTTATGACTTTACGACATATTTCTTAATGAGCACATTTTTTTTATGTCAATGCAGAAGAAGCAACAAACAAAGAAAAATTTCGAATGGTTTAAAAAAATCTTTTTTGTATGGTGTATATTTTTGTGGTTTTATAAAATATCCATAATAGAAGATAAATAAAAAAATTTGTAATTCATTTGTGTAACTCATATTTGTGTTTGTAACTCAAGGGCGTCGCCAAGGGGGGCAGGCGGAGGCAGCTGCTCCCCCCCTTAGAAATTCGAAAAAAGCACAAAAATTTTCTTAAGCTAATAAAATATTAGATTGGGGAAATTTTTAATAAAATATTTTATTTATTTAAACTTTAATTTTGAAAATTAATACACTACCTTATTTTTTAAAAACCATTGTAATAAATTAGTATAAATACTTGTTGACAAAAGAATTTAAAATTATAAAATTTTATGTTAAAATGTAATACATTTCCATATTTTAAAAATGAAATTTTAAATTAAAAAATATATATTTTTTTTCTATCGGAATCAGAATAAAAGTGTATAACAGTGCAGCTAAAGCTATATATGTAATTAATAAAATAGTCGATAAATTTTCAAAAAATCCGAGAAAATTATGTTTCACCTAATTTTCGTTGTATTTTTTAGTTATGTACACTTTTTATGTTTTTCTTGTATTAAAAAGGTTTTATTAAAAATATTTCTAAAACAAATTAATTCACTGTGCCTACCAGCTATTTCTACCTATAATTTATATTTCTCCCATCCTCTCGTTTATCTTGACCCCCCTCCCTAGCCCATTGGCTGGCGACGCCCTTGTTGTTACTGCTTTTTTAAAACCACAGTGTCGTGAATTTCTGTGTTGATGACTTCTGACACTGATCTAGTTTTGGTGTAATAGACTATAGCCACAGATTACCTATCTGTGCTATAGTCACTAGTGCACACATAAAAGTGCACAGAGACGCATTTAAGAAAGTTAAAATAGGTATTATTAAAAATTCAAAAAATTACAACATACTTAATGTATTTACTATTTTTTTCTTCAACAAAATGATTTGAATCAGTGCTAGATATATTAAATTAATTTGAAACAACTTACAACCAACAACAAAAATAAACAGCGAATGATACGTATAAAATTGAAGCTATTATAGGTCGTAAGGTGCAGTTCTGTATGCGCGTCTTTGGAGGAGACTCGATCCGTTTCGTTGACCAATAGTTTCGTAGGCACGTATTTGATCGTTGTTTATACATGGTCATAATGCAACATTTTCAGTAGATATATCAGGTATATAGAGTGCAACTTTGAGTGGGGGGCATATTTATACAGAGGCTTATTTTGACCTTTAGAAACACGTATCAATAGGTTTTTCAAATTTTGTGGTAAAAACTTAATTTAAAAAAAAAATTAATAATGGGTTACCCTGTATATACAGGGTGTTCCGAAATTCATGCAACAAAATTTGGTCACAGGTTCTTAAGACAAATTTAGGGGACCCGTATTTTTTATTTTTGCCAAGTGGCCCCCTCTTTCGGAGTTACAGCCCCCTGAAGTCCGTCCCTAAGAATAATATTTTTTTTATATCTCAGAACCCTGTTGTATGAATATCACTAAATTTGCCACACAGGGGTTTTATGACATGTGGAAACTGATGGTGCTACGTTTTTTGGCGGGGAACCCCCTGAAGACAATTTTTCGTGGGATCCCTTGTTTTTGGAGCCAAAAAAATTTGGTCGCATATTTAAATTTCTTAAAAATTATCAGTCCACTAGAAAGCCATTAAATTTAGAAACTTTTTGTCTCTTTATACTTTTTTCGTAAAACGCAATGTTTTCGAGAAAANTTTAGAAACTTTTTTATCTCTTGATATTTGTTTCGTAAAATGCAATGTTTTTGAGGAAAATGGCGAATCACGATATGGATTCGATCACATTTTGACATTTTTCTCGAAAACATTGCGTTTTCCGAAAAAAGTATAAAGAGACAAAAGGTTTCTAAATTTAATGACTTTCTAGTGGACTGATAATTTTTAAGAAATATATGCTACCAAATTTTTTTGGCTCCAAAGACAAGGGGGCCCACGAAATATTGTTCCTCGCCAAAAAACATGGCACCATCATATTCCACATGTCATAAAACCCCTGTGTACCAAATTTAGTGATTCTGGTACAACAGGGTTCTGAGAAAAAAATTATTCTAAGGAGCAGACTTCAGGGGGCTGTAACTCCGAAAAAGGGGGCCAGTTGGCAAAAAAAAAAATACAGGTCCCCTAAATTTGTCTTAAGAATCTATGACTAAATTTTGTTGCATGAATTTCCGGACATCCTGTACAGGGTGTTGCAAAATGTTGTTCAGAGAATTCTAAAGCAGATTCATCATCCAAAAAAATTCCTATAAACGTAGGTCCGCAAATGCTTCGTTTATACAGGGTGTTTCTGAGAGACCTCCCGTAAATTCAGGGGGTGATAGTACGACAAAAAATAAGAATTTTTTGTCTTGTGAACTATGTCTATTCTATTTAAAAAATTTTATTTTGTCGCTCTGTATCTCGAAAACAAGAGGGATAGACATATCATTCATACTACTCGTACTATCACTCCCTGAATTTATGGGAGGTCTTTTTGATACACCCTGTATAGAGATTTGATATAATGGATTGCATTTCAGACACATCAGGGCGTTGATGTGGGGGAGTGCTTATTGATTTTTGACCAGAAAATCTAAGCCATTGGTTTTTACTTTATTTTTAGGAA